GTTCCTTGCAGGTGCTCGCATTGCTCCAGGTCACCTCTAGGACACTGACCACGCTCCCTCTGCTCCTGTGTTTTTAGCCCATCCCTCCCAACAAGCATGCTTCACCCCACCCCGACTATCTTAACAGCAGCGAATCCACACAGGTCTGCGGCAACCTCGGTTCTTGCTTCCTCAGAAGAATTTGACCAAGGGGCATAAGGCAGAGTGAGAGACAGAGCCAACTTTCAGAGCCCAGGTGAAAGTTTATTAAAAAGTTTTAGAGCACAAACAAAAGGAAGTAAAGTCACTTGGAAGAGGGCCAAGAGGGGACATAAGAGATTCAAGTGCGCTGTGAGACCTTTGGCTTGGGGTCTTGTATGTTGGCATCCTTTGGGCGGGGGGTGTTACCTCTCCCCCGATTGTTCCCATGGGGTGGGCTGTCCTGATGCGCTGTGGCCTGCCAGCACTTGGGAGGGGCCACAACGCAGTGTGTTTACTGAAGTTGTGCACGTGCTCACTTGAGGCGTTCCCCCATCTACTAATTAAACTCCATCATTCTGCCTTTTAGTGCATATGCTTGAGCTCACTCACCCAGATCCTGAGATCTTATCAGGAAGCTGCTAATCACCAGCTTCAGAGGTTTTCTATTGGGAAACTGAGTTTCCCTGGTACTGGCTGTGACCAATACTTTAGAGGAACAGTTTAACAACAGCCTGACCATCATCTGGTGGCTGCCTGACATTCCTGGGTGGAGAGGCCCTCTCCTGCCCTGCTCATGCCTGCCTACTGTAAGGGTCCTTCCTTCCTCATTGCCCCTTAGAAACACAAGGCTGTGGAGTTTAGCAAACTTTACTAACGGTTAACTGGTGGAAAGAGACCAGCACAACACAGGCACCATCTTCTAATGAAAAATATTGGCCATGGCTTCCCTAAAAGGTAACCCACCATTCTCCTTGCAGGGAGTTTCTTTACTGATTGGCTTGAATCTGCTGGGTACCTCCTCTCCCCTCTACAGATCCTTTTCCCCTATGGCCAGCCTCTAGCCCCACATTTTTATTGAGGTCTTATGATAAGCCTTTGTGTTCTCTTCCTGCCACCCCAAACCAGGCTCCCTACCTGGCTTTCCATATCCAGAAGCTCACAGAGATGCTGTGGTTTCCATCCTCAACGACACAAATCACTACAGAAAGTCTGGGATGGCTATTCTGGGTCAGAATCGCAGGTAGGCCTCTCACGCAACCTCTGCCCAGAGCACCCTGGGAGTCTCCTTCCTGTGATAGCATCCACTGGCTTTATCGGGTTACCCTGCCCCAGGCATCCTGGTCTCCCTCCTTCCCTCTGCCCACCTGCCGTCCCCCAAGCTGAGAATCCCTGCTCTAGGCTGACAGTCTAACTGGAGAAGCAGCATGGAGCAAAGGCAGAAGTGTGCTGGAATTCCAGCTTCCTTACAAATAGCTCTACAACCCCAGGCAAGTTTCTGTCGTGGGTTTATCTGTCTTTGCAGCATCCACTTCCCCCCTTCCCAACTTACAGCCCCCTACCCGCCACTCCAGTTCCAGCGGGAATCCAGGAGGCCCCAGGAAGCTATTGAGTATATTCCATTTCCCTGGCCGCAGGGATTGGTTCAGGGACAGTGTGATGCTTAATGTTAGGTATCAACTTGGCTATGCTATGGTGCCCAATTGTTTGGTCAAACGCCAGTCTAGGTATTGCCATGAAGGCATTTTTTTAGTCGTGATTACTGTTTAAATCAGTAGGCTTTCACTGAAGCACATTCCCCTCCATAAAGTGGGTGGGACTCACACAATCTGTTGAAGGCCTTAAGACTGAGGTTTCCTGAAGAAGGAGTTCTCAGTCCTGCAACGCAGACACTTGAGTTTCCAGGCTTCTTGGCCTGCCTTGTGGATTTTGGACACATGAAGGCAACGTAACTCTTACCTGAATTTCCAGCCCGTGGGCCTGTTCCTAGAGATTTCAGACTCGCCGGCCTCCACATTCACATGAACCAGTTCTTAAAATCTCTCCCCACTGTCCCCATATGTACATCGGTTCTGCTTCTCTGGAGAACCCCAGTGCAGGTAGGTGTGGCAGCCCTTTTTCTGGGAAGGCTGGGAGATAGGAAGTCTCTTTCTCTGAATGGTAGAATTCAGACAGACTTGGAATGGCTGCTGGGTTTCAAGCTCTGGACCAGGCTCCCAGGCACTCAGCTCCCTGGGATCCTCTGCTGAGACGCGGGATTACAGTGCCTTCTGCATAGGGTGATTGAGAGGATTACACGAATCAACAGATACTAACCGCTGAAGACAATGCCTGCATCAGAAGTGCTTGGTAAATCCGGAAGGAAGAGTGGGAAAAGAGAAGACCCAGCCCGAGGAAAAGTCGACGTACGAGGTGGGCAAGCAAAAGGACACAGAGCCCTGCTGGTTTCTCAAACCTTTCCATGCGACTCCGCTGGACACTCATTCTACCTCCGCACTTTTCAGTGACGCACGCTCCTGATTTTCTTTCACTATTGAAATGTATTCGGGTTGAGCTTTTGTTATTTCCACCCAGAGTGCTGAACCCCTTCTTGTTTTAACAACTGGGTAGTTTCTTTTTTCAGACCCGAAAGCACAAGAGGTTTGACCACATCCCCTTTCCTGGGAAAGGTAGCTTGTCACTCTCCTCAGGGCAACTACGTTTAGTGGCTCCAGGAACCTATTTCTACCCACCCACAAGGAACCACCCTCAGTACCTTACAGGTGATTCCCTTCTATGGCAGTTGCCCACATGATTTCCAGGTAAACAAGCATTTCACTGAGGAGGAAACAGGAACGACCTATAAACAATAAAAAGTTGATCAACTTATGAGAGATGCAAACCAAAACCCAACAGGATACCCAAATGGAAACCCATTTTAACTCACTAGATACATAAAAAATGTAAAAGTCTTTAAAATGTTGAGTATTGATAGTAATGTGGAGCCAGTGGGGGTGGGGGGTGTGAACTGTATCATCTACTACGTGTAAACACTGCATTATCACGGAAAGCTGAAAATGTCTATATCCTACGTAGCAGTAATATCTGTACTGAATCGATCCCTAAAGAAACTCTTGGGTCCTTTGCAAGCCTCCTGCAAGAATGTTCCGTGCTGCACCGTTGGTAACAGCAAAGTACTACAAACAACTGATTGTATCCACACACAAGACAACAGATAAAAAAATGAAATACGGCATATGTACTTATGCATCCCAAAGACTGAACATGAATGAACTGCAGCTACATGCGGATGTAGATACAACGTGGATACATTTAATAGTAATAGCTTTTATAATGACTCAAAGGCATAAAAATGATACAATGGACTTTGGGGTCTCAGCGGAAAGAGCGGAAGAGGGGTGCGGGATGAAAGACAACATATATACTACCACAATGTATTCTTCTCGGGTGATGGGTACACCAGGATCTCAAAAATCATCACTAAAGAACTTACTCATGAAGGCCGGGCGCGGTGGCTCACGCCTGTAATCCCAGCACTTTGGGAGGCCGAGGCGGGTGGATCACAAGGTCAAGAGATTGAGACCATCCTGGCCAACATAGTGAAACCCCGTCTCTACTAAAATACAAAAATCAGATGGGCCTGGTGGCGCACACCTGTAGTCCCAGCTACTCAGAAGGCTGAGGCAGGAGAATTGCTTGAACCTGGGAGCGGAGGTTGCAGTGAGCTAAGATTGCACCACTGCACTAGAGCCTGGCGCCTGGCGACAGAGCAAGACTCTGTCTCAAAACAAACAAACAAACAACAACAAAAAAAAACTTATTCATGTAACCAAATGCCACCTGCACCCTAATAACTTATGGAAAAATAAATTAATAGCTTTAGTAAGAAAAGGCACTTGAAGAATACCTACCAAATATAGAAAGTCTAGAAACATACAATAATCAATACATTATTTGGGGATATATCAAAGTAGAAAAGCATAAGAATGATACACATAAAATCAGAAGAGTGGTTATTCTTTGGAGGAGGAGGGTGCCATTCAGATGGGTACCGAAGAGTTACATATAATGATTCATATCCCCATCCAGTGCTGGTTACACGGATGTTTGTTTTTATCCTTACATTACACATATTATATTCTTTCATATACATGAAAGGTAATATTTTTATCGTCGTAAAATATTCATAACCAAATTTGGCATTTTAACCGTTTTTAAATTTACAGTTCCGTGGCATTAAGTACATTCACCTCGTGCATCCATCCACCACTATTTCCAGAACGTTTTCATCATCCCAAACTGCTTTTGGTATCATACCCAAGAAATGATGCCAAGTGCAATGTCATGAAGCTTTTGCCCTGTCTTCTTCTAAGAGTTTTACAATTGTAGCCTTTATATTTAGGTCTTTGATCCATTTTGCGTTAATTTTTATATGCGGTGTAAGGCAAGGATTCAATTTCATTCTTTGGCAGTATACATTTTTAAACAGAAACAAAAGAAGGGGAGACTATTAGCTCCAAGAGGAACGGGGACCATTGACAAATGAAGGGACTGGGATAGAAGTAAAGTAGATAAGCTCAGACAGCTGAGAAAAGCAGCAGGGGCTGGAAGCCAAATCCTGTCGGGCAGGACGGCTGCGGCCTCAGCAGCAGCAAAGACAGCTGCGCCCCCGGGGCTAGGCCCACCCACTTAACTGCCCGCGACCGCGGGGGCACTAGCTCCTCCTCTTTCCCCGCCCCGCAAGGGGCGGGCCCACGTGACTCCGAGGCTCTCGGGCGTTGAAAAACTGGCGGTGCGGGTGGGAGGGAAAGCCCGGAAAAACGTTGGTCACGGCGGACCGTAGGCAACCTGATTGTGCGGCATGGACTCCAGCTCCGTTGCGCGGTTGTAACCACGCCCGGTTTTCCCTCACGTTCCAGGCCGGGGTGGAGCCCGGGGCCCCCGCTCAGAAAGTCCGGCGCATGCGCGCGTGCAAGGCTCGGATTGGCCGCTCGGAGCGTCGCGGGGCTTGGCGGGAGCTTTCAGTCTCGCGGGTGCTTCCAGTCAGTTGGGGGGACGCTTTCAGTCGGTTGGCAGGGCGCGTCCAGTCCGTTGCGAGGGCTTGGAGAGCGGCGCCATGGCTCCGCGGGGCCGGCGGCGGCGGCGGCGGCGGCGGGCGCGGCCTCCCAATCCTGAAGGGTAAGTGTTGCCGACCTCCGTCGCGCGAGGCGGGAGACCAGCTTGAACTGCTTCCTCGCCTGTCGCGGTTTAGGCCCCGGCGCTGTTCGGGCTCCGCTCGGGAGCTCGACCGAGTGACCAGTCACCCGGGGCCCGGCTTCCTCGTCCGTCTAGTGGGGATAACAGTGATCCCACCCGCACGGGCCGGTCGGGGCGAGTAGGAGAGACGTTAGCCGGCGTCGGCTTTGCGGGGAGAGTACCGTCCAAAGGACTCGGGCTCCAGGTGCTGGCTCGAAAGCGAAATGTTGAGGAAATACCGCCTGCGATTTGCCAGGCGTTGTTGGTGACGTTGACTCTGGGAGTCCGTTTTCTTCTCTTGAAGACTCTGGTGTTTCCGTACTGCGAACCACAGAGCTGAGACTGGAGCGCGTCTCCGGCGCGGGGACCGGCCGCCCGCCCTGCTCCGGGGTGGGTCGAGCCGTTTTTAGTGACCAAAACCAGCGTGTGTTCGGTAGGCTGCAAAACCGCGCTCTGAAACGCTGGTGGCGGATGCGTTGGCGAGCGCCATCCCAGCTTGCTGCTGACGGTGCCCGAGACCACACCCCGAGGCGTTCTGCAGAGAACAGTTCCCGCGGGGCCGGGGAAGACTGCCTGGGGAAAGAGGTGCTGGTCGGTGCGGGGTTAGGGTGCAGAGCTGGAGCAGGACGCCGCAGGTGGGTGGGGAAACCGAGTCCTGACTCCTGTGGCCAGTGGAGAAGAATTGAAGACTCCGCCGGGGGAGAAGAGGATTGGGAAAGAATGTCAGCTGAAAAGGGTTCAAGGTTATCTGAAAGGGTAGTGGGTTTTGTTGTCTTTTTTTTTTTTTTTAAACATTTTTGGGTTTGAGACTCATGAAATTTGTTCATGCCTTCTCCGAAAACACACTATAACAGAGGTTTTATTCTTTTCTTTTCTTTTTTTTTTTTTTTTTTTTTTTTTGAGATGGAGTCTCGCTCGGTCGTCAAGCTGGAGTACAGTGACGCGATCTTGACTCACTGCAACCTCCGACTCCCTGGTTCAAGCGATTCTCTTGCCTCAGCCTCCCAAGTAGCTGGGATTACAGGCATGCGCACCACGTCCAGCTGATTTTTGTGTTTTTAGTAGGGACGGGGCTTCACCACGTTGGCCAGGATGGTTTCGCTCTGCTGACCTAGTGATCCGCCCACCTCGGCCTCCCGAAGTACTGGGATTACAGGTGTGAGCCACTGCGCCTGGCCCATAAATTTTACCTATGAGTTGTCACAGAGGTTTCTGTCTCTCGGAAGCCCTACCTTGACTCCAGCCTAAAGCAACGAGGAACTTTGAACCACCCCCTGCTCCCCTACCGCCATCCCCAGAAAGGACAAGACAACTCAAAGAGTTTAGGTTAAGAAGTTTATGTGGTCTGGTTTGTAATTGTGTTTCTGTTACCCGGATGTGTGACCCTTCATAAGTACTTTTCCGAACTCCAGAATCATCATGTATAAAATTGCTATAAAACGAATACTTTCTTCCTTAGGTTTCATGAATCAAATAAATCATTAACTTGTTAGAAATGCAGAATCTCAGGCCACACCCCAGAGGTACTGAATCAGACACCCCGGCGGTGTGCCAAACAACCTGTTTAACAAGCCCTTTCGAGGATTGCGATGCCACTCAAGTCTGGGAACCACCAGATCTAAACACTTTTCCAACTATTTTTTTTAAACTGATTCACAGTAATGTTTTACATCACACTTAGTACACGTGTGCACACATGGATACATAAAACAAAAGGCTTATGGACATAGTGTGTCCAGTGCAATGTTTCATTTTCTTCCCTGGCAGTCTTAAAGGACATTACAGGACAATTGATGTGATTTGAGTATGGACTGTAGATTAGATCATGGTGTCAGTGTTAAATTTCTTGATTTTAGAAATTTTACCATGAATATGTAGGATAATGCCCGCTTTCTTAGGAAAGACATAATTGTAGTACTTGGAGGTGCACAGTATTCTCAGTTACACAGCGCAAAAGAGATGAAATGTAAGCAGTGAGTGAACCTTGGTAAATGGCATACAGAAGGTCCTTGTACTTTGTCAGGCACGTTGGGAGCCCCATGTAAGGCTAAGTGCCCCACAGGGTCGTGGGGTGAGCCTTATGCTGTGCTGAGGTGCAGGATCCGAGAAATAAAGAGACAGGACACAGATGTACAAAGAAAACACAGCTGGGCTCGGGGGGCCACGCCATCTATAAGCGGAGTCAGGCGAGGCTGGCTGGCGAGGCAGCGAAGCCGCGAATGTCCAGAAGCGTGAGTATTTATTGTGTATAGGTTAGGGGGCAGGGCAGTGAGTGAAATCATCTTTAAGGATAGTGATAGGGTCGTGAGCAATAAAACATAGGGTCCACCCCCATTAGATCACCTGGGCCAGGAGATGGACAGCGTGCAGCAAGGGGCCCGTTCCCATGAAGGCAAGGGTGCGGTTCCCACGAAGGCAAGGGCCATGTGCAGTAAGGGGGTGCAGAGTTCGATACTTCTATCTATGGGAAACTACTTCTAAGAAGATTTATGGGAGGATGCTTAAATCACATAGCAGTGACAGAGCTGTCAAGGTTACTGCCACCTACTGGCAGCTTCCAATGGATTCTATAGGAAAATGCTTTTCAAGCAGCACAGTAGCAAGAGCTGATAAAGTTCACAGTCACCAAGGTGGATTGCCGGTCTGAGGGCAGCCTTCCACAAGAACTGGAGCAAGGTCCTACAACTCCTTTATCAGGAGGAGTGGCTCTCGCCCCAAGCCTGCCATACAGCGGGTATCTTTACGATACTGAACGCTGCCGCCTGGGCCATGGATTCTTTTCCTGGTATAACTGTCTTCCCTTAAACCATGCTCTGCACTGTGTCTGCTCTAGGCATTCCTCCGATTATAAGCTGCTTATTCCTTAATTCATGCTCTGTACCGTGTCCACTCTAGGCATTCCTCCAATTATGAACTAGGATATAATTATGGGTATATATGTAGGGAAATATTCTTCAGGCACTCTTATTATCAATTATTATATGATTATATACAGAGGATTATATAAAGGGAGCCTACAAGCCCTATTTCTATAAGCTAATATATGATTATGTAAAGGATTATATAAAGGGAAATAGCTGAGTAGTAACACTATAAAGTGAGATATTCCTCAAACCCTAACTGTGCCAGGGCTCTGCTTAGCTCTCATTCCTCGGTGCCTATATGCGGGGTTACCCACGGTACTATGCTTACAACTTCTCTGCTTGTAATTATATCAAAAGGTTACTCAAACATTGGTTCAGACTCAGTAAGCCGACTTTGCTGTCTGCAAATGAGGAAAATAGGGCTGCAATCAGCATGGTATATTTTAAAGTCAGGATTTATGTACTGTATTATCCCATAGTGTCCCCTACCCTTGCACAATGCCTGGTCCATGGAGGATGCTCTGTACATACTCCTGGCAATATTATTAGTAATAATATTATATATTGTTCCCTGCCACTGTTATTTTCCTTTTTTATTCTAGTCACCATTGTTATATCTGTTTCCTTGAAGTTTGTTGAAGATATATATACAACTTTTATCATTTTAAGCTATGGCCCAACTGAGTATGAAGGGATGTCACGGGCGGGCCCTGGATTTGAACTGATGTAAATTTCAGTGTAGGCTTGTCTCCTTCCTTGCCTGGTGTTGCTGTGGGCAAGCATACATCTATAAAGGGATTGATTCACTTCTGCCTTATAGGACTGTTAGAATTCAATGAGAAAAGAATGTACAAGAGCCAGGCACAAGATGGAGCAGGTGTCAGAGTTTAGTGTTAGGCTACCACCCCTTTGTTCAGCTCTGCAGAGAAAGTCGATCACTGCTGATTGAGTAAGGCCTCAGGGGAAAAGGTAACAGCAGGATTGCAACTTTCCATGTCCCTGAGGGGGAGAATTGTGTTATTTTATAAATTGGTGATATGATTTGACCTACAAAAATGATGGAATATGGGTTCTGGTTTTTTGTTTTTGTTCTTTTTTCTTTTGGTAAAAATGCGTGGAAAGGGTTATAACTATGCTGTTTCCTCGGTTATTTTAACTATTTCCTAACTCTTGTGGTTTTTTTTTTTTCTGCTGTTTAATAGTGCAAGACAGTCAAAGAACACATTAGAAAGAACACATTCCATGAAAGATGTGAGTTATCTTTTTGTGTTGATTTCCTCAAAATTGACAGTACAAAATAACATTTTGTGGGTACCTCAGAGTTTTGTAGACCTCAGTTGGTTAAGTTCAATGTTTATTGTAGTGAAAAAGTGTTCATTTTCCTCACACTTTTTCCAGTATAGCCAAGAAAATGACTTTCATTAATGTTTTAGAATTTCCTTTTTTTCCTGAGCCTAGGTTGGTTTTATTTTCGTTTAGATAATTAACTTCATATAAAAATTGTATAATGCTCTATATTTTGCTTTTTTCACTTAAAGTCATTTCTCATTGTGGTTTTAAAAGACTTGTTTATGATTTTGTAGTACTTAGTTCACATTACAGGTTTACTTTTCTTTCTAATAGAGTCTTAGAACGTATGTTAAAGGTGTGTACGTTTCTGTAACGCTTGTTATAGCTAATTCCAAATTCTTTTCCAGTGGCTTGTGTGGTTGGCATTGTAATCTCACATTAACAGTGTGTGACAGTGCCAGGCACCCTGGAAGGAGTTCCTTCTGCTTATTCTGCCCTGGACTTTCTCTGTCCTGCATGAGGATAGAGAAAGCCCTTCCTGCAGAGGATATCTTAAGCCCTTCCTGCAGAGGATAGCTCTTTTCCCCTCTGGGAAACCCTGGCATCCCCCTGCAGGATTTTGCTCAGCCCTCTGCTCCCACCCTTGCATTACTTCATTGGTCCTTTGGGTGGATTTCTCTCAGCTGTCCTGCCTGCCCTTGCCATTGGTAGCCAAAGTCCAGTGTGCGTTGGCGGGGTTTCTCTAAGCTCCAGCCTTAGCTGAAAGCCCAAAGTATCTGGAATGGATTCAGCTTACCTGTCCTTCCCTCTGCAAGGCAGTGCTTTACATGTGGTGAAGGCTCCCTATTCCTTGGGAGAGGCTGGAAGACCTGTCAGCTCCCTCAGGATTTCACCCCCAAGCACTCTAGGAATGAATCTTTCACTGGGGGAGCATCTGAATGGTCAAATTTTGGTTTTGTTTGCCAATTTTATTTGGTCTCCTCTATATCTTCCAGAATTTTCTTATTTTCGTATCTGTTAATAGTACCCTTCCACATTTTCTGGAACTACCATGAAAGTTTTTTTCATTTTATATATGTTTTCATACCTCATTAGATTTGGGGTAGCAGACTTCATGGGCTTGTCAATATATTAAACTATAAACCCTGGTGTCTCTCCTTTAGTCAGGAGTTTTTACCCATGTGTACCCTTAAAACTGTTTATGAACTTTTGGGTATATGGGCATATTTCTGGAGACAGGACCCATCACTTTCCCCAGGTCAGAGGTTTAGGCAAACTGGCCCATAGGCCAAATCTAGTCTGCCAACTGTTTTTGTATATCCCTGCAAGCTGAGAATGGTTTTTACATTTTTTAATGGTTGAAATAAAATGAAAAGACTATCTGATAACACATGAACATGATATGAAATTCAAATTGAAGTGTTCAGAAGTGAAATTTTATTGGAACACAGCCATGCTCATTCTTTTCTGTGTTGTTACTGTCTGCATTCATGCAACAGTGGCCGAGTTAGTACTCACAACAGAAACCTTATGGCCAGCAAAGCCTGAAATACTTACTTTCTGGTCCTTTATAGAAAAAGTTTTCCTATCCATGCCTTAGGTTATCAAAAGAGTCTGTGTCCCCAAAACATGTTATATTTGGTTGCTTCTTTCTTTATTTTAACTGAAACATAGTAATTGTACATATTTGTGGGGTACAGTTTGATCTTGCCATACATGACTATGTTGTATATGACCCAATCAGGATAGGTAGTCTATCCATCACCCCATGCATAAGGATTGCTTCCTTAGGCAGCAGTGATTACAAGAATATCCTTGCTGCATAAATCAGCCTCGTGATGTTCTTTGTGAGAGCCATCTCAATGACTTCGACTTTATTCACTTTTAGAAAGCTGGTCAAAAGTGCAAGTCTGTTGATGTGTTTGATTTTCCTGATAATTCTGATGTCTCAAGCGTTGGCAGGCCAGGTGAAAATGAGAAAGATGAAGAACCTAATGAGACCTTTGGTTAGTATTTTAAATCTTTATCCTAACGTAACTCTAAACAACGTTTAGGCCAAACATAATAAAAAAATAGAAGTATCTTCAAATATAAAAATTAGTTGCCTGCATGTAGTAAGTATGTTCTTTGGGGAGTACTTGATAATTTGAATTAATTTTTCTCACTTCTAAATAGACTGAAGCTAGGAACATTATCAAAGAAGCACTCTTCTAGTAGCGTTCCTTAACAATCCAGTCACATTAGGACGCTTACTGTGGTACTCTGTAACAAGAGGAACATAGAATACATTTCTCGCTTCACTCCACCATTTGATAGAGCCATTGATTTAGGGAGGAGAAGAGTATGGGTAATTTTCCCTTGTCCTAATTTCATGGGGCCAGGGGATGATTCAGGAGAACCAGTGGGAGAGCTTCACTTGTGTTCCTGGGAGTGCAGGAAAAAAGGTCAGTACCTGGCTGTCCAGGAGTGTGTGAGCTGTCAGAATGGGCTGCTTATGTCACTGTGTGTCACAGGACACTCAAGAGGACAGAAACGACAGAGAAAGTGCCGTGTACACCCACATGCAGAACTGCAGTGGCCAGGCATTTTTGCTGGAATAATTTTTAAGAGAATTTTGAAGACTTGGGTTTAATTTTTTATTAAAAGAAAATATTATACATTTTATAAGGTGAAATGTATTTGCCAGAATATGTCTTTTATTATGACTTGATAAAAATGTTCTATTTATCTAAAATCTAAATCTAAAAGATCTTAACCTAAAATCCCTAATTTAAAAAATGGAAATGAATTCACATACCATAAAATTCACCCTTTTAAAGTGTACATGTCATTGGGTTTTAGTTTATTCACAAGGTTGTACAACTGTCAGCATTATCTAATTCCAGAAAATTATTATCACCCTGTAGAGAACCCTGTACCCCTGAGCAGTCACTCCCTATTATTCCGCCTTCCTTGAAGCCCCTGGAGCCATGAATGTCCTCCTCTCTACGGATTTGCTATTTCTGGACATATCAGTGGAATCCTAGACTCTTGGTCCTTTGTGACTTGTGTTTTCAGGGTTTGTCCATGTTGTAGTGTGTATCTACTTTGTTCCTACAAGTTTTTATAGCTTGGTAACACTCCGTTGTTTGGATATGCAACCGCTTGTTATCTACTTACGAGTTACATTTTGGTGATTTCTATTTTTTGGCCACTATGAATACTGCTGTGAACATATATGTATGAGTTTTTGTGTGGACTTTTTTCACTTCTCTAGGGCTTATAGTGGGAGTGGAGTTGTGAGATCAAAAACATTTGGGAAGTGGCCTATGTAATTGATTTTGATTTTGTAAGTCAGTTAAACAAAGATTGTTTTGTATTCCATTGTAAGGCAATAAACTTCAGTACTGCCCAAATAGCCAGACTTAACGTTGTGCTTCTTTTTTGCCTTTTGAAAGATCCTCCTTTACACAGCACAGCTATATATGCTGATGAGGAAGAATTCTCCAAACATTGTGGCTTATCTATTCCTTCAACTTCTCCAGGAAAAGAAGCAAAAAGAAGGTACTGGTGTATTTCAAGCAATTGTTTATTCATGGTTAATGGGATTTCTGAGAAACTCTTTAAGATAGAAGCTAATAAGATCCTTTGAGCCAACTTGTTATGCTTTTTCTCAAGAGAACTGGGGCATAAAAACTTTATTAATAATTGACACTACTTACAGTAATTACAATAGCTGTGATAACTGACATAATTCATACCTTATCCTAGAAATCATGCCTGTGAAGATAGTTTAGCTTTGAGTCAGATAAGAAAGTAGGGAAAGATTTTACCAGCATAGAATTTTAAGTGATTTTCAGAGGTCCCTTTCATTTACAGATTCTCTAATTATCACAAATGAGATGTTTCTTTGTATATGGTGGATAATAATTACAAAGCAATACAAAGACTGTTTCAGATGCATTGTCCTGGAGGCGCATTGGTTTGAGCCTTTCAGATTTATATGAAGGTATAGGTCAGGAAAATCTCTATAAAAATGATTTTATAGAGACAACTTGAGAGCAAATTATATAATTTGAGTTCTACAGAACTCTTCAGTAACTGTAGTACTAATTATAAATTATTAACTATAGTAGCTCTTTGACTTAGGGACCTCTATTGGGTAACAGGTCAATTCCAGTTACTAAATGTATTTAGCAAGTATCAAAACTGCAGTTATTAAATATCCCAGTTGGGCAGAAATCTTAGGAAGTCATTTTGAGATTGTCTGCATTAGGGAAGTTTTATAGTACTTAGTTATTTTGAAGACTCCAGTTCTTTTACATGTTATTGAAAATCAGTAAAAGTCATACATTTGGAAAACATGTGCTCCACTTTAAACAGTGGTGAATGTGATTTTTAGAGAGGAATATTTCGAATAGGGAACACATTCACATGGTTTAAAAATATGAAAAGGTTTGTAATAAGTCTTCATAAAACATCTGTTATCCACCTAGCTCCTAAAACCCACTTCTTCCCTCTCCCTTATTTATTTCTCATGTGTCCTTCCAGAATTTCTTGGTGCATATAAAAGTAAATATGAATACAGATTTTAGTCTTTTTTTGTGTGCGAAAGGCAGCATAGCTTGCAACCTAGCTCTTTTCACTTAATACATCTTCAGTACACATGCATGGAGCTTTCTCATTCTTCTTCCCTTTCCACAGTATAGGTGTTCCTTGGTGTGATTACCCAGTCCTGTATGGATGGGCAGTGGGACTGTTTCCAGTCTGTGCTCTCACTCCCAGTAACACTGGGAGTGCTGTTTCACACTTGTGCCTGTGTATCTATAGGATATAGTCATAAAAGTGAAATTCTGGGTCAAATGAAATGTGGGTTTTGTCATTTTTATAGTTACTGCCACCAAAGTGAGATGAAACTTGGATTTTTGCCAATGTGATAGGTCAAAAATGCTATCCAGGCCTAGTTCTAATTTGTTATTCTCCTTAGGAGTAATTGAGCAGCAATGACTCGAAAGCTCTTGAATTTCTTTTTCTGCAAAACTGTTTATATCATTTTTTCTTATCTTCTAGTTGATGTTGGTCATTTTCTTCGTGACTTCATTTAAACATTAGTGAGATTAGCCCTATGTTATAGATTTTTTTTACTGGTTTGTTCATCTGTCTTTTGACAAAACACCTAATGGTTTTTTTTGTTGTTGTTGTTTTTTTAACCACATAGAAAATATTTAGTTTTATGTAGATGCAATGATACATTTATCAACTCTTTTCTTTTAGGGTTCAGGAATTTTGAGTCATAGGCATATCCTTTCGTGTTTTTTCTAGAACTTTTATGATTTATTTTTATATTAAAATCCTTGATTTTTCTATTCTTGTGAGGTATAAATGCAGCTTTTCTCCTTTTTTCCACATGACTGCTCAGTTCTCTTAGTCAGATTTATCAAATGACCCTTTGTTCCTGTACATCACTTGCTGAGACATCACTCATGTTATGTATTACATTCTGTCTGTATTGGGGTCCGTTTATCCTCTGTCTTTAATGTCAGTGGTTTTTTGGTCTAGTCCTGCACCATTGTTACTCTTCATTATTGCTGAGGCTTTGTAATAATAACAAAGTATTTGGTAGTGCTGGTTGCTTCTTGATTGTTTTTTACGGGTTTATTGGCTATCCTTGTTTGTTTTTGTAATAATGACTTTGAAGAGCTGCTTGTTAAGTTAGAAGCAAAGTTGCTATCTTTATTGGGTTGAGTTAAATTTATAAAATCTGATCTTCTATTTCGGATTTGGTTTGCTCTTGCTTTTCTAGTTCTTTAAGATGCATCATTCGGTTATTAAAGTTTTTCTTTTTTGATGTAGGCGCTTATAACTATAAACTTCCCTCTCAGTACTGCTTTCGTGGTATCCCATAGGTTTTGGTATGTTGTGTTTACATTATCTATTGTCTTAAGAAATTTCTCAGCTGCTTAATCTCTTCATTGACCCACTGGTCCTTCAGGAACGTATTGTTTAATTTCTGTGTGTTTGTATAACTTCCAAAATTCCTCGTGGTATTGATTTCTGGTTTTATTCTGCAGAGAAGATACTTGACATTATTTCGGTTTTTAAAAAATGTTTTAAGACTTGTTTTGTGACTTACCATATGGTCTGTACTTGAGAATGATCCATGTGCTGAGGAAAAGAATGTGTATTCTGCAGCTGTTGGATGAAATGTTTAAATATCTATTAAGTCCATTTGGTCTACAGTGCAGATTAAGTCTGATGTTTCTTTATTGATCTTCTGTCTGGAAGATCTCTCTAGTGCTGAAAGTGGGGTGTTGAAGCCTCCAGCTCTTGTACTGGAATCTCTCTTTAGCTCTAATAGTATTAGCTTCATATATCTGGGTGTTCCAGTGTTCAGTGCATGTATATTTAAAATTGTTATATCCTCTTGCTGAATTGAACCATTTGTCATTATATATTAACCTTTTTTGTGTTTTCTTTTGTGTGTGTGTGTGTGTGTTTTCTTAAAGAGAAGTTTTTGTCTTAAAATCTAGTTTGTCTGAAATAAGTATAGCTACTCCTGTTCTTTCTTTGGTTTCCATTAGCATGGAATATCTTTTTCCATCCTTCTATTTTCAGTCTGTATCTTTATAGATGAAATGTGTTTTTTGTAGGCAACAAATCGTTGGGTCTTGTATTGTTTTTTTTGTTTTTGTTTTTTTTTTAATCCATTTAGCCACACTGTATGTCTTTTGATTGGATAGTTTAGTCTGTTTACATTCAATGTTATTGTTAATTAGGGACTTCTGCCATTTTGTTATTTGTTTTCTGATTGTTTTGTGGTCCTCTTTTCCTTTTCTTTGTTCCTGTGTTCCTTTTAGTAAAGGTGATTTTCTCTGATAGTATTTCTTGCTCTTTTTGTGTATTTGTTGTATTTTTTTTTAGGTTACCATGAAGTTACCAAGTACTGTTTTATAACCCATTATTATGCCTATATCTTATTATACTGTTTATGTTTTGAAAAGTTACTATTTTTGAGTGGTTCATCTTTTAGTCTTCCTACTTATAGAAAGTGTAGTTTATACACATCAGTTAACAGTGTTATCATCTGTCTTTTTCTGTGTACTTATATTACCAATGAGTTTTATACCTTCAGATGATTTCATACTGCTCATTAATGTTCTTTTCTTTCTGCTTGAAGTACTCCCTTTAGCATTTCTTTTGGGACAGGTCTGGAGTTGATAAAATTTCTCAGCTTTTGTTTGGGAAAGTTTTTATTTCTCCTTCATGTTTGAAGGATATTTCACCAGATACACTCTTCTAGGGTAAAAGTTTTTTTCCTTCAGCATTTTAAATATGTCATGCCACTTTCTCCTGGCCTGTAAGATTTCTACTGAAAAGTCTGCTGCCAGATGTATTGGAACTCCATTTTAAGTTATTTGTTTGCACTTGCTGCTTTTAGATTCTTTTTGTTTTTTTAAGGCAGTCAGTTTCAGCACTGGGGGGTTGTATACCAACTTTAGTGACACTAATGTTAATAAATTCTGATAACCCGCCACCATCGGACCAGCCTGCTTTTAGAGTCTTTATTTTTGACCTTTGGGTGTTTGATTATTAAATGCCTTGAGGTAGTCTTCTTTGGGTTAAAGCTGCTTGATGTTGGTTCTATAACTTTCTTGTACTTGGATATTGATATCTTTCTCTTGATTTAGGAAGTTCTCTGTTATCTTTTTGAACAAACTTTCTACCCCCATTTCTCTGCCTTTCCTTTCAAGCCAATAACTCTTTGATTTGCCCTTTTGAAGCTATTTTCTAGACCTTGTAGGAATGCTTCATGGTTGTTTTTTTCTTTGTTCTTTTGTTTCCTCTGACCGTATTTTCAAATAACTTGTCTTCAAGCTCACTAATTTATTCTTCTGCTTGATAGATTCTGCTATTAAAAGACTCTGATGCATTGTTTAGTATGTCAGTTACATTTTTTCAACTCCTGAATTTCTGCTTGATTTTTAAAAATTATTTCAATTTCTTTGTTAAAGTTATCTGATAGAATTTTGAATTCCTTCTCTGGGTTATCTTGAATTTCTTTGAGTTTCCTCAGAACAGCTATTTTGACTTCTCTGTCTGAAAGGTCACATATGTCCTGTTTCTCCAGGATTGGTCCCTGGTGCCTTATTTAGTTTGTTTCATGAGGTCATGTTCTGTTGGATGGTCTTGATGCTTATGGATGTTCATCAGTGTCTGGGCATTGAAGAGTCAGGTATTTATGGTAGTCATTGGAGCCTGGGCTTGTTTGGCTCTATCCTTTTTGGGAAGATTTTCCAGATAATTGGAAGAACTTAGATGTCGTGATCTGCATTGGGGGCCTCATGACCCTGACTGGTGCCTATGCTACTGTGGCCAAGCTGGCATCCAATATGCAAAACAAAGTCTTCTCCACTCTTCCCTCTCCTCTACTCAAGTAGAAGAAAGGGGTCTCTTTTGGAGCCATGGGCTGTGCTGCCTGAGCCTGGGGCAGGGGTGATGCCAGCACATCCTTAGCCACACTGGTTGGTATCTGAGAAGGTCACATGCCCCCATCGTACACTGGTTCCAAGCCCAGCTCAATACTAGAAGGTGGCATTCTTGTGACCTAGACTGCCCATCAAGCTCACCTAGGGCTCCAGAGCACTTTAGCCCGCAGTAACAAGGCTTGTCAGAGCTCAAGCTCTCACTGCTAAGATGGGTGATTCCCCTCACACCAGGACCAATCCAAATGCTCCCTCCATGGTTGGGCATCAGTTTAGTTCAGCCTCTCTGCATTCCACTGTTACAGGACAACACAGAATTCAAAGCAAAGCTTCACAATCACTGCCCTCTACTCCGAAGAGTACAGATTCTCTGTGCCACACAGCCACTGTTGGGAGATGGGGAAGGGGTGGTAACAGCGGCTAGAGACTCTTTCCTACCCTCTTCAGTGCCTCTATCAGCGATAGGAAATCAAAACCAGGCACTGTGAGTGCTCAGCTGACTTGTTTCGTGTGAAGGTGCTCCCTTTGTATAGCTAGTTGTTAAACTTGGTGTTCCTGCAGGGAACAATTGGTGGAACCCTCTGTTCAGCCATCTTGCTCCTGATTGTTTCATCTCCTGTTTTTTCTTTATGTGTAGATGATTCTGCTCTCAGCCCTCTCTTCCCCATTAACCCCAGTTCACACTCATAGTTCTAACTACCTCTATGCCACTGTTTCTCAAGTTTGTCTCTTGTCTAGCCCCTCTCCTGAGTTCCAAGATGTCGTGCACATTGGCCATATTGCTCTAGATGCCCATAGGCACCTCACACTCAACAAAGTTAAAACGGAGCTTCATCCTTTTCCTTTTCATCTAGTGTCAATGAACTCTTTTGGTATTATCTAGGTCTTGCCATTCACTCAGTCCCCTCCAATCCAGCAATCTGGGAATCAGTCCTGGTATGTTCTGTCTGGCCAGTCCCATTTTTCTGGCCTGTAACTTCCTTGAGAATCTCTTTTTCCTCTCCACACCCCTGCCACCTCCCTGTGGCTGCCATGGTTTAGGAACTTCACTCTTACCAGCACTCCTGCGGTAGTTTCCTGTCTGGTCTCCTTGTTTCTTGTACATTTCCCTCTGGCCTTCCCTCCCATACACCTTTCAGAGTGATCTTTTAAAAACACCAGTCTTGTCTTACTCCTGTGCCCACCTCCTGTTAGGGCTCCCCTTTGCCTGTATGCATGGCATAGAGGGCCCATGTGCTAGGTTGGATCCTTGGGTGAGTAGACACTGAGGCAGTTAGGAATGGAAGGGGTTTATTAGTGATACCGGTGAAGGGTAAATAAAGTTGGAAGAAGCAGGATTGGGCAGAGATGGCCTCAAACTGCACCGCAGTGCCTATGGTTCTGACCAACCCACTGCAGAGCTCTGGAAGAATGATGTCTGCTAAAGGAGGCCTGGCCTGTATTGGGCAGAAACAGCCAGGTCCCAGACCCTTGCTGTGCTTACTTGTTGGCTAGAGATTGCCCACAGCTGTAGCCCCTGCCCAAATGCTGCAGTGGATCCAGAAGGCACTGCAGCTGGAGGCTGCCGCTGAGTGTAGGAAACCCATGCAGCATGCCTCTGTGGATGCCCTGCAGCCTGTCATTCATAGCCTTTGAATTCTTCTCTAGCATTCGTTATCTTCTCTTAGAAAATACATTCTATCTGTGCTCAGTTGCACATTTCTTAAACTTGCCGGGCTGTTTTACACCACTGTGCTTTTACGTTAACTGTTCCATCTGCTTTAAATGCCCTTCTCCACACTTGTTTTTCTGAAAAAGTTTTTTTTTTTTACGAGTCAACGCACGTGTCATAACCATGATGCCTTTCCTAATACCCCAGCCGTATCTCCACATCATTTTCTCTGTCAGATGTTTGCCAGGTCATCACTCTGCACCATCTTTGGCCTTCCTACTAGACAGTAAACCCTTCGAAGGAAAGCCTCTCAAATGTTAAAGTAATTTTATTCACTGCCCTTTGCATTCTGAGGTTGGTGTTAAATAAATTTGTCGTATTAAACTATTCTGTTTAAAGGTGAATTTTCATCTCCCATCAGAAGTTAGGGCTGTTTTTCCTTTTCATGCCTGTAATCCCAGCACTTTGGGAGGCCAAGGCAGGCAGATCACGAGGTCAGAAGTTTGAGACCAACATGGTGAAACCGTGATTCTACTACAAATACAAAAATTAGCTGGGCATGGTGGCATGCACCTGTAATCCCAGATACTTGGGAGGCTGAGGCAGGAGAATTGCTTAAACCTAGTAGGCGAAGGTTGCAGTGAGCCAAGATTACCACTGCACTCCAGCCTGGGCGACAGCAAGACTCCGTCTCAGTAGTGGGATGTCGGGGAGGGGAGGTTATGAGAAAAAAGGATAAAAGGTGTTCCCTTTACTATCACCTAAGGATGGGCCTATATGCCTGGGACTGGTAACTTGGAGAAAAGTGCAGTTCTCAGACATGACCACAAGCTGCTGCAGTGATGGAACAGGTTACTTGCTTGCCTGGGAGAAACTCAGATGGCCTGGGTGTGGGAAGATGTGGGAGACAGCCACTAAATCTGGGAAGGTGGCAGGCTTATATGTGAGAAGTAGGATATCGCCTCATTAAATGAAGTCTGTTTTCACGTTGGATGAGCAAGTTTAGAGAAGACATATGTAAATATAAATGGAATGTGTGCAAGATATTGATGGCTTGTACTTTTTATAGTTCTGACACTTCTGGAAATGAAACAAGTGAAAACGAATCTGTGAAAATTAGTGCAAAAAAGGTATGTAGGAGTATTCTGTCTTCTACCTTAATTTGTAATATGGTATAGTTTGATTGGATGCAAATAGAGAAACTGTTCTGTAAAATATTTCATTTCCTGTTTAGATTGGATGCAAATAGAGAAAATATTCCACAGCAATATTTTTAATGAAGTACTATTTTTAAAAGATACTTTTATAGTAAAAAGCAAAATATGTTTGTATCTGAAGTGTTTTTCATTAAAGAGGTCTCACATCTTTATGTACCTTGTCAATTTTCATAGCATTCTTGTACTGTGTTTTAGGTTGTGATTTTAAAAGGCAAGGTAAATTGTTGGGAGTGTTTACTGTAACCTTTCATTTTGGTTTCCTGTTCTGTCCACTAATTATGTTGCCGTCTTCCTATTATGTTCACTTTTGAAGTTTAGAAGTGAGAAACGTGGACTAGATAGTTTTCTATTATTACAGTAAGAATTATAAGCATTTATATTTTCTATGTAAGTACTGCTGTTTTTTCTTTCACACAGTCAGGAAGAAAGCTCAAGCCCATTAGTGATGACTCTGAAAGCACTGAAGGAATTGATGTAAGAAGAAAAGTTAAATCAGCAGAGAAAATAAGTACACAGCGACATGAGGCTGTTCCAACTACAGCATCTTCAGATCTTTTAGAGAAGCCAATTGAGTCGGTCACTTTTAGAAAGATAGGACCCCGTAGTGCCCAGCCTTCTGTTGAAAAAGAGAACTTGGCAATAGAAAGTCAATTGGTAAGAGTGTCTGCCATCCCCTTGGAGAGCAAAAAAAGTTTATTGAAAAATTTTAGGGAAGAAATGAAACATTTTCTCTTTCCTTCACATATTTTCAAGGATAAATTTTGTATTTAATGTAATAGAAATTTTTTTTTTTTAGAAAATTTAAAAGGTATGGCTGGTTTTGTTGGCTAATGCCTGTAATCCCAGCACCTGAGGTCAGGAGTTCAAGACCAGCCTGGGCAACATAGTTGAAACCCTGTCTCTACTAAAAATACTAAAATCAGTTGGGTGCAGTGGTGTGTGCCTATAATCCCAGCTGCTTGGGAGGCTGAGGCAGGAGAATAGCTTGAGCTCGGGAGGCAGAGGTTTCAGTCAGCTGAGATTGCGCCATTGCACTCCAGCCTGGGCTGTTGCCTTGCTCTCTTAGCAAGACTCCGTCTCCAAAAAAAAAAAAATCTAGAAGGTATAGAAAAGAAGATAAAATTGCCTATAATACCATAACCCAAAATAACCACCATGTTTTTAGGTCTATGCTGTTTGGTCCTTTCAGTGAGCTTTTATTACCCTAAGTGAAATCATATACTTGTCATTAAGTATTCAACAATACCATTTTAATGAATGCATAACATTCCATTCATGGATATGGCATAGTTTAGTAATCTCTTACTAATGAAGAATTGCTATTTTAAAAATTATAAGTGCTTTGATGGATTTTGTTGTAGTTAAATATTTGTGCATTCCTTGGATCATTTCCTTAGAAAAAAAATTGCTGGTAAGAATTCTGGATCTTGGCTGGGCCCAGTGGCTCACGCTTGTTATCCCACCACTGTGGGAGGCCAAGGCGAGTGAATCACTTAAGGTCAGGAGTTTGAGACCAGTCTGGACAACATGATGAAACCCCGTTTCTACTAAAAATATAAAAATTAGCCAGGCGTGGTGGCACCAGTAGTTGCAGCTACTCAGGACGCTGAGGTAGGAGAATCGCTTGAACCTGGGAGGTGGAGGTGCAGTGAGCCCAGATCACACCACTGCACTCCATCCTGGATGACAGAGCGAGACTCTGTCTTAAAAAAAATAGCCGGGCGCAGTGGCTTATGCCTATAATCCCAGCACTTTGGGAGGCCAAAGCAGGCAGATCACAAGGTCAGAAGATCGAGACCAGCCTGGCCAATGTGTTGAAAATACAAAAATAAGCCAGGTGTGGTGGTGAATGCCTGTAGTTCAGTTACTTGGGAGGGTAAGGCAGGAGAATCGCTTGAACCCAGGAGGTGGAGGTTGCAGTGAGCCAAGATTGTGCCACTGCACTCCAGCCTGGGCTACAGAGCAAGACTCCTCAAAAAAAAAAAAAAGAATTCTAGATCTTAGGCCGGGCGTGGTGGCTCATGCCTGTAATCCTACCGCTTTGGGAGGCCAAGGTGGACGGATCACCTGAGGTCAGGAGTTCAAGCCCAGCCTGGCCAACATGGCAAAACCCCATCTCTACTAAAAATACAAAAATTAGCTGGGTGTGGTGGTGCATGCCTATAATCCCACTTGGGAGTTTGAGGCAGTAGAATCACTTGAAACCAGGAGGTGGAGGTTGCAGTGAGCCAAGACTACCATTCCAATATACTCAGCAACAGAGTGAGACTCCATCTAAAAAAAAAAAAAAAAAAAAAGGAAATTCTCGGTCGTCCTATTGGTTCTAAAATTCTTGACATGTAACGTCTTTTGGTCAAGTTTTTAATAGGTGATTGTTAATTCATTCGAGCTTAATGTTTTGAAACTTTTAAAAATATTGTAAGGTGTCCCTGCTACCCTGTCTTCTTCACCTTTCCACCTGCTAAACATACACACAGGTAACCGTATAGTTCTTATATATCCTTTGAGTTTCCTTTTGTATATGTAAACAAATATAAACATATTTTCTAATTTTTATTTCCTGTCTTTACGTAAATGGAAGCAAAACATGATCTCTGTTGCTGATCTGTCTTGGTGAACATCCCATGTGCACTTGAATTTGCAGCTGTTGTGTTCTGTAAATGTCAGTTGAGGTCAAGGTAATTGATAGTGTGGTTCAGAGATTTTGTCTCCTTACTGTTTTTTGTTTTTGATGAGGGGGAATGGTTTACTTGATTCATCAGTTACATAGAGGAGGTGTTTTTTTTTTAACTTGCGCTGAAAGTCCATTGACTTTTGATGTAATTTTAAACTTGGTGACTTTCACATCTATCTTACTGTTTTCCATTTGATTCTGTTTTATCTCTCTTGCTCATTTTGGATTAGTTGAATATATTATTGTATTTCATTTTATTTTCTCTGTTGGCTTCTTAGCTATACCTTTTTAAATTTTTTTCAGTGGTTGCTCCTAGGTTAAAAATATATCCTTAAATTAGCAGTCTATTTAAAATCAGTGTTATCACCTCATACATTCTACTTGACAACTACCTCCCTCCCACTACATAAATGTAATTATGTAACAATATTATGTATTCCATTTATCCATCCCCATCCTCTGCTGTTTTGTCATATGTTTTACTTCTGTGTTATTAATCTAACTTTATATAGTATTGTCATTTCTGCTTGAAAGAGCTTTTTTTTTTGGTGGGTGGGAGGAGGAGACGGAATCTTGCTCTGTGACCGGGCTGCCTCCCAGGTTCAAGCAATTCTCCTGCCTCAGCCTCCTGAGTAGCTGGGACTACAGGCATGTACCACCATGCCCAGTTAATTTTTGCATTTTTAGTAGAGACGGAATTTTACCGTGTTGACCAGGATGGTCTCCATCTCTTGTGATTTGCCTGCCTTGGCCTCCCAAAGTACCAAGATTGCAGGCATGAGCCACTGCACCTGGCTGAAAGAGTTGTTGTTGTTGTTGTTGTTGTTGTTGTTGTTGTTGTTGTTGTTTAGAAAAGTATGAGCAGCAGCAGTTCTGTAGTCTTTCATCTGTTCCTTTTTCCATTTCACTGATTGCCTGCCTGTAGATACAAGTTTCCATTTGATATCTTTTCCTGTCAGCCTACAGGATATCTAACTGTTTTTAAAGGATATTTCAATGGCTATGGAATTCTGAGTTGACAGATTTATTCCCCAGCTCTTTAACTATGCCATTCTGTTGTCTTCTGGTCTTTATGGTTTCTGATGAGCCGTGAGTTGTCTCTTTCCCAGGTACATTTACTTTGTCCCATGACCCCAGTGCTGTTTGTCCTTTTTATCGATTATATTGTTATCCCCATGATAGTGCTTTCTGGTAGGCTTTGTGTGGTCTCACCCAGCACATGGGCAGTACTCTGACAAGGACTTTGAGGAGCCCTCCATCCCTAACACAGGCTCCTGTGCTCTCATCTGAGCAGCTTATTCCAAGTGCCTCTCAGCTGGGTAGGATTGTCGTGCCCTGCTTAGACTTTAGCTCACTATAGAAACTGTGTGGAGTGGGGATGGCAGTCATGGGGTTCACCTTCCAAGTTTTCCCTTTCTCCAGGAACTCAGTCTTGTGTGTTGCCTATTGTCCAGAACCTGAATTGAATTGCCACCCTGTTCCCCTATTTTATCGTTGTTTATGGCAAGAGAGCTAGTTTGGAAGCTGTTACTTTACCACAGCTGAGAGCAGAAATTTGAGCTGATTCCCCATGTTATCTTAAGTAATGAAAGTTCAGTTTTTCTGTCAAGGCAACATCTGTTATCAGTTTTATTTTTTCTTAATGTGTGACAGTTTGTTTGCAATGCTTCCATATATTAATGTAGATAATTTATATAACTAATCTATGTTAGAACTAAATGAGAATTGTAGCTAATTTTTTTTTCTTCTGGAGATGGAGTCTTGCCCTGTGCCCAGGCTGGAGTGCAGTGGCGCAGTGTCAGCTCACTGCAACCTCTGACTCCCCTGAGTTCAAGTGATTCTCCTGTGTCTGCTTCCCCACTAGCTGGGATTACAGGCACGCATCACCATGCCCTGCCAATTTTTGTATTATTTTTAGTAGAGATGGGTTTTACCATGTTGGCCAGGCTGGTCTGGAACTCCAGACTTAAGTGATCTGTCCACCTCAGCCTCCTGAAGTACTGGGATTACAGGCGTGAGCCACTGTGCTCGGCTAAAATACTGAATGACAATTTGATAATAGTGTTAATCCTTATGATTTAAGACAAAGAAAACTTTTCTTAAAAATTAAATGCTGTGGGGTTTTTTTGGTTTTTGTTTTGTTTTTTGCAGAAAACTCAGAAAAAAGGGAAGATGTCTTATGACAAAAGGAAGAAATCAGGAAGTGAAGCCATAGATTCAGGTAGAAAATGATGCTTTATACTTTGTCACTCATTCAGGAATTTCATAAGAGAAATAAGACCCTAGTCTTAATGTATTAAAGTAGTAAATTGTAAGTACATAAAATTTTCAACATACAATTAAGGTGAAAAATATTTGTAGTATATATTCATATACTCCCTAGATTTTACAGTTAACATTTTATTATTTACTTTATTAGGTAGGTAGTAAAGCAAGTATTAAATAATCCGTTAGTCCAGTTTTTAAGGCATTTTAAAATAATGTAGACATCAGTACTTCCTCTGCAATACTTCAGTATGCACATGATTAACTGGAGTTCATTGTTTACAATTTTTTCTTTGAATGTAAAATGTATATACAGTACAATAAAATGCCGTGCTCTTGAATGTATAGTCATTGGGTTTTGGGAAATGCAAACACCTGTGTAACTCAAGCCACTGTCAATATGTAAAGGCTTTACTCCAGAAAGTTCCCCCATGCCTCTTTCACATCAGTCCCCACACCATATCTCCAGAGGCAGTAGCTTCAAGGACACTTTTTCTGCCATGGATTAGTTTTGCCTGTTCTGGGACTTCTTATAGATGGAATCACATCATGTGTACTCCTTTATGTAAGGCTTCTTTCACTCAGCATAGTCTTTTTGCAGTCCATCCCTGTTGTTTGGTGTCATTTTTAGTGCTGAGCTTATTCCATTGTGTGATTACACCACAGTTGATCCAGTCTCTCACTGATGGACAGCTGAGTTGTTTTCAGGTTTTGGCTATTTGAATAAAGCTGCTGTGAACTCTTTTTTTTTTTTTTTTTTTTTGGGAGACATAGTCTTGCTCTGTTGCCAGGCTGGAGTGCAGTAGCATGATCTCAGCTCACTGCAGCCTCCGCCTCCTGGATTCAAGCATTTCCTCTGCCTCAGCCTTCCAAGTAACTGGGACTATAGGTGCATGCCACTGCGCCTGGCAAATTTTTTGTATTTTAGTAGAGACGGGGTTTCACCATTGGTATTTCACCAATACCAGCGAGGCTGGTATTGATCTCCTGACCCCGTGATCTGCTCTCCTTGACCTCTCAAAGTACTGGGATTACAGGCGTGAGCCACTGCACCCAGCCAGTGAACATACTGTACACATTTTTTGCGAAAATATGTTTTTATTTCTTTTGGGTAAATAAAAAGGAGTGAAGTTGCTGAGTTATAGGGTAGGCATATGTTTAATTTCACAAGAAACTGCCAAACTTTGCAAACTGCATTCCCAAGGTGGTTGTATAATATAATTTTATACTCCTACCAGAAGCTGCACAGTTAAAAATGTTACTAAGAATATAATGAACAACTTCATTTGAATAAATTTGAAATACGGGAGGCTAGTGGGGAGCAGGGGATAGGGAGAGGCTAGTCAGTGGGTACAAAGTTACAATTAGATTAGAGGTGTAAGTTCAGGTATTCTGTTGCACAGTAGGGTGATTGGTTAACAATATGACACATTTCAAAATAGCTAGAAGAGAGGATATTTAGTCTTCTTACCACAAACAAATGATGAATGTATAAGGCGATGGATATGCCGAATACCCGTAATTTGATTTTTACACAATACATATGTTTTGAAACATCACACATTCCCATAAATATGAATAATTACTATGTGTCGATTAAAAACAAATTTTATAAATGAATCCAGTTCCCTTCCAAAATAGATGAAAAGGAGATACCATCCCTCTCCTATATTGCAACACATAAGTATCTAGAAAATGCAAAGCTATTGAAGCTGGATTTTGAAGAAGAAAACTAAAATAATCCTATAACTATTAAATTCAAACACTAGTTTTACGTTTTTTTATTAAACTAACAAAAACGCCTCAATTCTATATAGTTTTACGGGCAGGTCTAACACAGCAGTCCCCAACCTTTTTGGTACCAGGGACTGACTGGTGTCACGGAAGACAATTTTTCCATGGATGGGGGTTAGGGACGGTTTGGGGATGAAACTGTTCTATCTCGGATCAGGTGTGATTAGTTAGATTCCCAAAAGGAGCTCACAACCTAGATCCCTCGAATGTGCAATTCACAATCAGGTTTGCACTCTTTTAAGAATCTGACAGGAGGCAAAGCTCAGGCCAGGGGTTTGGGGACTCCTGATCTAACAGACATTTAATTCTAATCTTAGGGACACTACCACCAAAAGGTAGACCAGAAAAGAGACCCTGCATTTATAGAAACTTGATGAATGCATGACAGAATTATTGTTGCTGGTCAATGGGAAAGGTGGTTCTGTGACAGTGTTTTCCCTATAGAAAAATGAGACCGCCTCTGACTTGCACACATTAAAAAGAAGTTCTGAATTGAAGGCTTAAATACCACAGGTAAAATTGGACAATTTTTAGAGAAAATACAGGAGTATCCATAAAAAGACAACTTGGTAGAAAAAGGGGCAGATGACACCAACATTCTTACAGAAGACGAAACAGTAAAATAAAGATTTGAAAGGAGTCTCTTCTTAATCATAGAAATTTAAATTTACAGCTACAATGAGACACCCTTTTGCACCTTCTAGTTTGGCAAGGATTTTAGTCTCTCAAGTCCATATTTAATGAAGATGCTGTCAGTGGAGATTCTTAACCACTGCAGATATAAAGAGATATAAGCACTTTGAGAATAATTTTGGCCATTTTCTGGCAAAGTTGAAAAAACATTCAGACTTTGAAACCTAGCAGTTGCTGGTAGGTATATTTACTAGAGGAATTCTTGAACATGGCTGTGAATCATGTATATAAGTACTCTTAACATTGTCTTTCATGCTAGCAAAATACAGCAAACAACTTACCACATTAGAATTGATAGATAAATTGCGGTATATTTATGGAATGGAATACAAAAGCAAAACTTATACTGGTGCATAAGCAATTATAAAAAGGTCCAAAACATGCAAAACTAAACTCTACATTGTTTAGGAATGTATTCCTGTGCAATAGAATCATAATGAAGCGTAATACAAACACAGAGTTTAGAAAACATTGGAGTCAGGGGTATGCAGAGTGCTTCCAGTGTCTTGTTAATGCTCTCTCTCTCTCCTTTTGTTTTTTGAGACAGTTTTGCTCTTGTTGCCCAGACTGGAGTGCAATGTGATCTCTGCTTGGTGTAACCTCTACCTGCCAGGTTCAAACGATTCTCCTGCCTCAGCCTCCTGAGTAGCTGGGATTACAGGCGCTTGCCACCAAGCCTGGCTAATTTTTTGGGTTTTTTTCTTAGTAGAGACAGGGTTTCACCATATTGGCCAAGCTGGTCTTGAACTCCTTACCTCCAGTGATCCACCTGCCTCAGCCTCCCAGAGTGCTGGGATTACAGGTGTGAGCCAATGCACCCGGCCAGTGCTCTCTTCAGCTGTACTGTGGTCCTATGGGCATCCCTTTTATTAGGCATTTTTATATTACACACTTAAAAATGTTCTCATGTGTATAAAATAACTCATCATAAATCAATTTTGATGCCAAAATAAAAACAGAGTTTCACTCTTGTTGCCCAGGCTGGAGTACAATGTTGCAGTCTTGGCTCACCGCAACCTCCACCTCCCAGGTTCAAGCAATTCTCCTGCCTCAGCCTCCTGAGTAGCTGGGATTACAGGCATGCACTGCTATGCCTGGCTAATTTTGTATTTTTAGTAGAGAAGGGGTTTCACCAGGTTAGTCGGGCTGGTCTCGAACTCTTGACCTCAGGTGATCCACCCGCCTCAGCCTCACAAAGTGCTGGGATTACAGGTGTTAGCCACCACGCCCGGCCAATGTTTCTTAATTAAACTTAAAAAAAAAAAAAACTGTTAGTTCTGAGGGCTGGGGGAAAATTTTATTTAGACTGATAAGATTTTTAGATACTATGTCTTTTATAAAAGCAGAACCACTTTTTTCAGATTACTGGTTTTTCTAGAAATCATGGAGTCCTGAGTTTAGGTGAGTAGGGATTTGTGTATATTGGGAGTGGTGGCTGAATTGTGGCTAGCAGTGTTATGGGTCTGGCCTGGAAACATTATCAGAATACCTTTTACTAACTTCTGTTCCTACCAGTTTCTGTTTTAGAAATTAGTAGCAACAAAGACAAAGTATTTATGTGTCAACCATTATACTGAATAAATTGAGACTTAGGTTAAAAAACTTGTCATAAGTGGGTTCAGCCAGTGTTTTGGGTATGTATTAATGCCTAACAAACTACCTTAAAACTTAGTAATCTAAAACATCGATTAGAAAACTTATGTCTGGGTTGGGTGGGGCGTGGTGGCTCATCCTTGTAACTCCAGCACTTTGAGAGGCCAAGGAGGGTGGATCACTCGAGGTCAGGAGTTTGAAAGCAGCCTGACCAATATGGTGAAACCCCATCTCTACTAAAAATACAAAAATTAGCTGGACATAGTGGCACGTGCCTGTAATCCCAGCTACTCAGGAGTCTGAGGCAAAAGAATCGCTTGAACCTGGGAGGCAGAGTTTACTGTGAGCCAAGATGGGTGCCATTGCACTCTAGCCTGGGCAGTAAGAGTGAAACTCTGTCTCAAAAAATACATACATATCTACAGTTCAGATTTAGTCCATTGCCTGTTTTTGAAAATGGACTTTTATTGGATCACAGCCAGATTCGTTCTTCTGTGGATTGTCTGTGGCTGCCTTCACACTGCAGTGGCAGAGTTGAGCAGTTGGCCCATTAAGCCAATGGTAGTTACTGTCTGGCACTTCACAGAAGTTTGCCAGCCCCTGATAGACAACAGCCATTGTTTAATTTGCTTACAGTTTTGCTTTGGTCAATTCTGTTTGTTTAATGGCTGAGCTAGGGTGGAAGGTCTAAGATGTCTGTGTTCATGTGTCTGGTGTCTTGTTCCTCCTGTATGTGCCCTCTTTTTTAGTGGCTAGCTTGGGCTTGCCTGTTCTTTGGTAGTCAGAATTGTATGTGACAGTTGACATGCAAGAGGGAGCATTGCGGGAGCTGAAAAGCAGAAGCTGTGGATCCCCTGAGACCTGGCGTTTTACTTCTTCGTGTTCTGTTGATTAAGGCAATCATAGGGCAATCTTAGATTCAAGGGAACGGAAATAGGGAAGAGTGGCAAAGAATTGGTGACTGTCATTAATCCACCACAGCCAGGAATTGTGCTCAGGTTACTGTGAATCTGGAGACAAACTCCCAGTATATTTGTCAGTATTGCAGTATTAAACAAGGAGTTAGTTAGGGAAGAAGAGTAAACTATCCTGCCAATGGCTTATGTTAACATTAAACAGAAAATTGGGGGCTGGGCATAGTGGATGCACCTGTAATCCCAGCACTTTGGGAGGCTGAGGAGAGAGGATTGCTTGAGCCCAGGAGTTCAAGACCAGCCTGGGCAACATAGCGGGACCCCATCTTTACAAAAAAATTTTCAAAAATAGCCAGGCGTAGTGGCATACACCTGTAGTACCAGCTGCTTGGGAGGCCGAGGTGGGAGGATTACTTAGCCTAGACTTTGAGGCTGTAATGAGTGGTGATTGTGCTGCTGCACTGCAGCTTGGGCAACAGAGTAAGACACTGTCTCAAAAAAAATTTTTTTTAAGAAAAAATTGGGATATGCTTTGGAATTGATAATAACACTTTATAGATGTAATTTATAGATTTTATAAATGCATTCACAGAAACTTTCTTGCTTGAGTCTCAAAATAAAAGAGCATTGTTTTATTTCTTCCGTTTATCATTGAGGAAGTGGCCCCTGGAAGGTTATACGACTTACCTGAGATCTTCTGACTATTAAGAAAGAAGCTCGGCCGGGCGCGGTGGCTCAAGCCTGTAATCCCAGCACTTTGGGAGGCCGAGGCGGGTGGATCACAAGGTCGAGAGATCGAGACCATCCTGGTCAACATGGTGAAACCCCGTCTCTACTAAAAATACAAAAACTAGCTGGGCGTGGTGGCGCGTGCCTGTAATCCCAGCTATTTAGGAGGCTGAGGCAGGAGAATTGCCTGAGCCCAGGAGGCGGAGGTTGCGGTGAGCCGAGACCGCGCCATTGCACTCCAGCCTGGGTAACAAGAGCGAAACTCCGTCTCAAAAAAAACTAAAATCAAGGTTTTCAGATTCCTGTCTGGTATATTACTGTATATTACTACAATGACTTAAATAGTAATCTTGCTGTATCTTATGAGTGGCCTACCCGATGGATTAAAATTCAGAAAATGCAGCTAATAGTGAAGAGCTTATCCCCAGTAATGTTAAATAACAGCAGACTACTAAAGAAAGACACAGGTGATTAAAAGACAGCAATGCTTTTGGTTGCTTTAGCAGAAATAGGAAAACCAGCAAGACAGCAGTTAGAGTGAAAGTGTATGTATGGGTTTGCAAGACTATGCACAGGGATAAGAAGTGAGTACGGCTCCTTTTCTGATTCTTGAAGGTCGGTATCTTTTACAATTCAATGGGACTGCTTTTGTGTCAGGCTTTCAGAACTCTGGACCTATAGCCAAAATATGAATAATCAGCATGTTATCTTAATATTCTAGATACTTCCAACACTGTGCATATGTGTCTAGACGGAAAGAAAGCCAGTGACATCATGGAGATGAATGCTGTTTTGCCTGAATTTGGTAAAGTCCACCAAGAGTATGCGTAAGTCTTTTGATGATGTGGTACATTTACGTAATAAATTTCCCTTGAAGAACCATTTTTGCTCATCCTATAGTTTTTGTTATGTACTCATTTTCATTGTCATTGTTTTAGACATGTTTACATTTTATTGTAATTTCTTCTTTAATTCTTTGGGGAATTTATATATTTTTATATGTCCACATATGTAGACTTTTAAATTTACATTTTTATATTAACTTTCTGTCTTAAATTTGTTGTGGTCAGAGATCATGGCCTGGTGATACCTATTTGTTTTCTTAATTTTGAGGCTTTCTTCATGACCTTCTACATCATCTTTGTAGAATTTCTGATCACTGAATCTAAATAGAATCTCTAATTATTGGATCTACGTTTAGTTTTTCTTGGTACTTATATTCATTTGTACAGTATGTATTTAGAGACTATCAGGAAAATCATGTTTAAAATTGCTCTGTTTTGCAGATTGAACATTTTATCTGGTCACCCACCCTATTCCTAACCATACTTTGTCTTAAAATTTACTCTACCTGATACTAATAAGCATCATCCTTTTCTTTTGCTAGCATTTGTCAGATTTTACATTCTTTTTAATTTCTTTTACTTTCAACCTTTTTGTGACCTTAAATCAGGCGTCCCCAAACTTTTTACACAGGGGGCCAATTCACTGTCCCTCAGACTGTTGGAGGGCCACCACATACTGTGCTCCTCTCACTGACCACCAATGAAAGAGGTGCCCCTTCCTGAAGTGCAGCGGGGCTGGATAAATGGCCTCAGGGGGCCGCATGCGGCCCTCGGGCTGTTGTTTGGGGACGCCTGCCTTCAATTTTTATTTCCTTATTAGTCTTTTTAAATCCAGTATATCAGTCTTTGAATTTCAACTGTTGAGTTTAATCCATTAACATTTATTGTAATTTTCGCTGTATCTTGAACAATATGTTGATAATGTTTTCACTTAACTTTTTTATTCTACTTTTTGATGTTCTGAATTTTTTTAACTTAAAAAAAATGTGTTTATAACTTCCCACCTTTAATTCTAGATTAAGGTAGATAAAATTTTCACTCTTGGTGTGTGTGTGTGTGTGTGTGTGTGTGTGTGTGTTTTTAAGACAATAAGTAAATTTTGTTAGGTATTTGATCACTTTTATATATTTTCTTGCAACATCCTATAGCTATGCATTTTCTCTTGTTTAAATACTTTGTCCAGCACTTCAGTGTGGCTCTTTATGTTTCAAAACTTCTAAACCCTCTGATTATTTTGATTATATCCTTGAATTTGAATGACAGCTTAGCTGGATATATTTGAGGTTTTAAATTATTTTCTTAAATGCTTTGGAAACTTTATATTATTTTACATCAAGTGTTGCTTTTGAAAAATTTGATGTCTATCTAATTCTTACTTCTTTATATGTGGTCTGTTCTTTAGCTCTCTAAAGAGCTGGGTTTTTTTTTCATTGATATTCTTAAATTTCACTGTGTTGGACCTAACCTTTTCATTCCAAAGTTTTTTTTACTTTTTACTTTTATTTTATTTTGGGAATGGAGTCTCACTCTGTCACCCAGGCTGGAGTGCAGTGGTGCAATCTCGGCTCACTGAAACCTTTGTCTCCCGGGTTCAAGCAATTCTCCTGCCTCAGCCTCCCAAGTAGCTAGGACTACAGGCAAGAGCCACCATGCCTGGCTAATTTTTTGTATTTTTAGTAGAGACGGGGTTTCACTATGTTAGCCAGGATTACAGACATGAGCCACCATGCCTGGCCAATTTTTTTTTTTAATCTATTGCTATTGAACACATTACATTTTTTAATTCTAAGAATTTAAAACAATTTTAATTTTCTTTTTTGTTCTCTAATTATTATCCTTTGCTTCATTCACTGGGAGATTTCCTCAATCTAAGAAATTAGATTTGCTAATTTATTCTCAGAAATATCTGTTCTACCATTTGTCTCATCTGTTGAGTTCTTTATTTAACTTAGCTTTTATATTAATATTTCTGCTTTTGTTTTTTGGGGTTTTTTTTTTTTTTTGATTGGAGTCTCACTGTCATCCAGGCTGGATGGAGTACAGTGGTGTGATCTTGGCTCCCTGCAACCTCCACCTCCCAGATGGTCCCAGGTTCAAGTGATTCACCTGTCTCAGCCTCTCAAACAGCTGGGATTACAGGTGTTAGCCACCCACACCTGGCTATTTCTGATGCTTTTTTGTGTCTTCTTATATTCATGTTTTATGCTGCTAATATCTTCCTCAGAATATCTGTTGGGCTAATTTAAAATACTGAATCAGCTATTCTAAAATACCTGCTTCTGTTAAGGTTTCTGATACGTGTTTTCTTTTTGAAATAATTGGGTTCCTCCAGTGTCTTGTTATTCCAGCCTCTGAGCTTATTTTCCCCCGGGCTGTTAGCTTCTGTCAGACAATGTGGATTGAAGAAGGTCAAACCTCAGTCTGTTAGTGCGGGTGAGTGCAGGAGGTGTCGGGTAAGCCCTATCTGGCAGCCTCAGCGACTCATCTCAGCAGCCTGTCAGGTCAGCACTTCACCCCTCGCCCTCCAAAGAGGAGCAGCAGGAAGAAAAGATGGACTCTGTGAGTCATCATTCTCCAGCATGGGGGTTTGGCCAGGGAAGGGTGAGGAAACAGCTGCCCAAAGTCAGTCAGCCTTTCTTGTTTTTCTACAGGCCCCACAAGCCCAACTGCAGTTTCAGTCTTGAGGACACACTGATAGAGGTCTGAATTGCTGCAGGGGCAGGGGAGTGGGGGTGGATCAGGTGCATTATTGAGGAGATCCATGATGGGAAGAGGCAGTAATCAGCTTCTTTCAGCTGTCTGTTCCTGTCCTGGCCACAGTGCGGACTCCTCACAGCAGTCATCCTCTCTACATGACCTCCCCCTCAGGGTTTTCACGGCTTTCTCCATTTTCTTGGTGGTATTGCCTCTAGTTCTGGGAAAGGAGCCAGCCTGTCATGTGAACTCATCATTATCATTGTGGGAAGTGCCTGTTTTACTCTTCTGTACTGTATATTCCAGAGCCAGTTTCCTGTTAAAAGTAGCATAGTTCTTTTAACACACTCAAGACCATCTTGCTTGTGTTATCCTTTTCCCATTCACAAATCTATTATAGGAAGCTTATTATAGACTCCTGATGTTTTAGGGGAAAATGGCATTGTAAGTAACTGGTAGTAAGTTCTTGATATAAGAAATGATTTAGAAGAGGCCTAGTATTTTTCTTAGACTTTTAACATTGCAGTACAACCTTGTGTTTTTGTCATACCAAATTCTGGGGAATCACTAATCTCATTTTGTTTCCTTGACAATGTGGTGTTCTCAGCTACATCAAACACTTCACTCTTTCGAAATTAAGTCAACTACTATTTAAAGGTCTGTTTTTAATATCCGGTACCTAGCTTTCTTCTATTTAAAAAGTTTGTTCTTTTAACTATTATAACATTTTTGTTAAAAACTAACACACACACACACACACACGCGTGCGCACAAGCCTAGGCCTGTGCAGTGTCTGGATCAGGCATTCCCAGACTTTTTACACAGGGGGCCAGTTCACTGTCCCTCAGACCGTTGGAGGGCCGCCACATACTGTGCTTCTCTCACTGACCACCAATGAAAGAGGTGCCCCTTCCTGAAGTGCGGCGGGGGGCCAGATAAATGGCCTCAGGGGGCCGCAATTTGGAGACGCCTGGTCTGGATCATCAACATCACTTTCTCCTACCTCCATGCCGCGTCCCACTGGAGGGTCTTCGGCACATGGAGTTGGCATCTCCTGTGCTAACAGTGCTTTCTTCTGGGATACTCCTGAAAGACCTGCTTTACAGTTTACTTTTTTTTTTTTTTTTTAAATAAGGAGAAGTACATTATAAAGTAATGATTGAAAGTATAGTATAACAAGTGTACTATATTATAGTACAAATAACTAGTCATTTATCATCAAGTATTATGTAGTATATGTAATTATACGCACTGTGCTTCTACACAACTAGGCAACACTGTAGGTTTGTTTACACCAGCATCACCACAATATGTGAGTAATGCATTGTGCTATATGACATTATGCCAGCAGTGGTGTCACTAGGTACATTGTATGTGCCATCCACTGTTGACTGAGACATTGTTATGTAGTCATTATTTTAATAGATTTTCTTTTTGTCTTTTTTTTTTTTTTTTTTTTTTTTTTTTTTGAGATAGAGTCTCACTCTGTCACCCAGGCTGGATTGCAGTGCTGTGGTCTTGGCTCACTGCAGCCTCTGCCTCCTGGGTTCAAGTGTTTGTCCCACCTCAGCCTCCCTGAGTTGCTGGGACTACAGGCGCGTGCCACCATGCCTGGCTAATTTTTCTATTTTTAGTAGAGACGAGGTTTCACTCTGTTGGCCAGGATGATCTTGAACTCCTGACCTCATGATCTGCCCACCTTTGCCTCCCAAAGTGCTGGAATTACAGGCATGAGCCACCGTGCCCAGCTGTAACATATTTTCTGTATCCATTCATCTGTCAGTGGACACTTGAGTTGTTTTCACCTTCGGGCTATTGTGAATAATGCTGCTACAAACACTGTGTACAATTGATACTCAAGCCCATGCTTTCAGTTCTGTGTATTTTCCTAGAAAAGGAATTACTGGATCATACGGTAATTCTATGTTGAATTTTTTTTTTTTTTTTAGAAACTGCCAATACTGTTTTCCATAGTGACTATATAATTTTACATTTCCACCAGCAACACAAGGGTTCCTATTTCTATACTTTCTCACCAACACTTGCTGTTTTGTTTGTTTGTTTGTTTTTTAATAATAACCATCTTAATGGGTGAGTGAGCCAAGCCAGGAGAATCAGCCTGGCCACCAGATCTCTTCTCCCCAGTGACAGAGACCTGAAGCAGTTTGTGTCAGCTTAAAGTTTCTGAAGAACTAAACACCTGATTTATGGCTACTTTTGGCCAATCCACATGTGTTACACAGTTGTTCGTCCTCTTGCTAACAGGCAAAGAGGGAGGGAATAAAGTTTGCTGGGTCCGTCGGGTAGTAGGAAAAGACTGGAATTAGCCTAGCCATAAGCATTTCTTCCTTACTTGGTATCACCTGTGAGGTTGGTCAGTATCAAGGAATTAAGATGACCCCATACCAGAGGGCTTAGGGAAAAATATTTTTGTTCTTTTCCTTTTGCTGATAACATGTTTCTAGTATTTTTTTCAGCCTGAGAAAATGCTGCAGGCTAAACATTGCCATCTTAGTTATTTAGAATGGTGCTGTCATATGTTCAGCGCAGCACTATCCATGATAGCAAAGACTGAGTCAGCCTAGGTGCCCATCAGCTGTGGGTTGGATAAAGAAAATATGATACCTATAGACCATGGAATACTTACTACACAGCCTTAAAAAAAAAGAACAAAATCATGTTGGATGCAGCTGAAGGTCATTATCCTAAGTGAATTATAGCAGGAACAGAAAAGCAGATACTGCGTGTTCTTGCTTATAAGTGGGTGAATACGAAATAAAGATGGCAGTAGACTCTGGGGACTCCTCAAGGAAAGAGAGGGATTCAAGAACTGAAAAACAACTTGTTGGGTACTAAGCTCGCTACCTAAGTGATGGGGTCAGTTGTACCCCAAACTTCAGTGTCATGCAGTATACCCATATAACCCCTTAATCTAAAATAAAAATTGAAATTATAAAAAATAAGAGATTTTTAAAATTAAAAAGTATGTGCCAAACTGTATGTGTATGTTTGTTTATATGCTAAGCAAATGAAACGCTTGACAAAATCCATTATGGTACTTAGACTTTATTTTTAATTCCTCTACAGAAAAAGAATAGAATCTAAAATTTGTAAGGCAGCCATGGACACATTTTATTACAATGTTAAAGAACAAATCACCAAATTGGTAAGCTCCCTGACATGCATTTGTTGGCCTAAGGTTTTTGTTTTTCACTAATGCTGAAGAAGCATATTGTTGTCTTAGAAAAGCTTGCTTTTGCTGGCAGTATGGTTTTAAACTCATGAGAACTACCCATATTCCACAGAACTGTTTTTAAACTAAATGTGATATATGTGAAACTAATTTACTTTTGGAAAGTAATGTACATATGTATTTTTTGTTCTCTGTAGCTTAAAGAAAGCCAGATGTTGAGAAGTCTGAAAAGGAAGAATGCTAAGGTAAATTATTTATGTGATGAGAGTCATAGAGTCAAATACAATAGTGACGTAGAGTTACGTGAAGACTTGACTCTGAGTTTACAGTCTTTGGAGTGTGAATAGATTTCATAATCTTGTTAGGCTTTTATTTGCTTGATCTTGTGGTTGATTTGGTTGGTATTATTAATGGAAGATAAGGAATGAGGATCCTAATCACTTCTGATTCCTAAAGCTGCACAGGTGTCAAAATAATTGTTTTTATAATTAAAGACATAAATTTAAGCTTTTAATGTCCCAAAGTCAGCTTAAAAATGACTACCAAGTCCAAAATGACCACTTATATGGATCTATATTAACATATATTTATTGCGTTTTTGAATGTCAAAAAGCACAACCCTTTAGAATAAAGAATTGTCACAGGTAGAAGGACAGCCTGGGAAGAAAACTGGGTTTTAGGGGTCAGGAGACCTCATGTCTAGTCCTGGCCCTGCTGTTTCAGTGCTCTACCTCCCACAGGCTGTACACCCCTGGGTCTGCAGTGGGCAGTAAGCACAAGAGCCTCCTTTGCTCACCTGTAAATGGTTGGACCAAATGACTTCCGAGCTTCAGAGGTGAATCCAGGAGTGGAAGTCTACCTCTACATTTAAAACAGAAATGGACTTGAAATACATACACGTTCCTTCCAGTGATTACAAGCTTTGAGGTGTTTTTCTTTTCAGTTTTAAATTCTTACTGGTCATTTCTGCATTGCTCAGTATGAAATGGGAACATTATGAATGTCTAACCATGGAGTATTAGGTAATCACTAAAAAGGACTAAATGACTGAGTTAATAAAATACATTGAAATGTTCCTTTTAAAATAGAGTGGATCACAGCACTCTCCTGCTTTGATAGTTTCCTAGTGCGCCTAGATAAAATCTTACCTTACAGGTCACAGGGTCCAGTAAAGACCTGACTCCTGCCTTTCTCCATTCATTCTGAAGATAGCCCTGTATCTTCTTTTCCTTTATAGCAAGTATCGCAAGTTGTAATTATGTACCGTCTCTATGTCATAATGTGTGTCTTCCCCATTAGACCAAAGTCTGTGATGGTAAGAATTGGGTCTGTCTTGTTTTCCACTGGACTTCATTACCTGGCAGTGTATGTGGCAGTGCTCAAACAGTTACAAAGTTAATTTTAACACAAATGATTGTGTTACTTAGATGATTTCAGATATCGAAAAGAAAAGGCAGCGTATGATTGAAGTCCAGGATGAACTGCTTCGGTAAGATACTGTCAAATTTTGTTTGAGCACTTACCTAAATGGATGTAATTACAGTGTGTCATTTCGGGGAGTGACAGTTGCTGCTGTGTTACATTAAAGCCCCAGGTTATCTTCGCACTCAGATACTCAGTGAAGGTAGGGTGTGCTGCCCACTTGCCTAATCCTTTAGCAAAGGAGAATTCCACACTGATCTGTCTCCATAGATTTCTCAGCTCTGGCCTTAAGAGATTTAATGCATAGATTCTAGAACTCAGCTGCCTGGGTTGAATTCTAGAATCTACGCATTGAATGCGTGGGTTGAACCCAATCTCTGCCACTTACGGGCTGTGCAACCTTGACCAAGTTACTTAACGTCCCAGTGCTTAGTTCCCTCTTTTGTATATAGGCATAATAATGGTCATACCTCAGAGTGTTGTGGAAATTTAATGAGTACATATATAGAAAGTGCTTCATAGGGACAGGCACACACAGCAAGTGCTATATAAGTGTTGACAATTGTTGATATTGTTGAAGGGTATGCCTCAGAGTGGCACGCATGTGAATCAAATCCTAATTGTGGGCCAGGTGACCTTACCAGGGCCTGCAGGCCAGGGCTGCCCCCAATTTCTGGTTAGGAAGACGGGAGCACACATCAGCTGTCAGGCCACAAGTGTGTTTTGAGGCCAGGGCTGTTGTGAGAGCTAGAGTAGTAAAGCAGTGCCAGATGTGCTCTTGTTCCTGAGCTTTAAAATAGCTTGTGAAAGAAAGTGATACTATCAGAAAAGAACATGTATAATTAAAAGTTGAAACTTTTAAAACTTAGTCAAAACTAAGTTTAAAAAAGTGCCAGGCCAGGCCAGGCATGGTGGCTCACGCCTATAATCCCAGCACTTTGGGAGGCTAAGGCAGGCAAATCACTTGAGGTTAGGAGTTCGAGACCAGCCTGGCCAACATAGGGAAACCCTGCCTCAACTAAAAATAGAAAAATTAGCCAGGCGTGGTGGCACACACCTGTAATCCCAGCTACTCAGGAGGTTGAGGCACGAGAATTGCTTGAATGGGGGAGAGAAAGGTTGCAGTGAGCTGAGATCATGCCTGGGCAACAGAGTGAAACTATGTCTCAAAACCAAAAACACTGCAACAGGAGTTTAATGGGGAGAAAGCAGTTGTCTAACCTGTTGGTTTCTAAATCAAGTCTCTGGACAGGTGCTGGCCTGTGATAAGGTTTTCATTGACCCAGGCCAAAATAAGAAAACTAAAGGTAATAAGGAAAGCTGACATTTACAAGATTCCTATGTGGCAGGGCACTTTCCTAAATGCTTTCTATGCTAACTCATAATCACAGTCCTATGAGATAAGTGGTTATAGCTACAGTCAGGCCATGCCTGGTTACACTTGTCTTCAGTGCGAGACTACTGAGACTTGTCTACTGAGACTGACTTTTCTTTTCTAGATATAATTTTAGAAGTTGAGAAATGTATTTTGAAAAGGCATAATAAAAACTATGGTATATCATTATTTTTAACTTGCCGTATGAAAACCGAAGGCACAGGGAGGTAACTTGCCCACGGGTGCAGCTCTAGGAAGTGGGGGAGCCAGGATTCACCGTCAGCTGACTGACTCTAAATCCAGCCCTCCTGCCATGGCTGCCAGCTCAGTAGTGAGTTTTCCCCAGTACTCCATTTGTTCAATGTAAAGAATCATTAAAGAAGACTTTTCTTTTATGAAATTTGAGAATAGTTTTGTTTTTTGTCTTTTTTGGCAAAATGCAAAATTGGCAGCCTTTGCCACTCCTTTTTTTGTTGGTCCATAAAACCCAAGTTACCCCTTTTTATTTAATTTTTTTTGAGACGGAGTTTCGCTCTTGTTACCCAGGCTGGAGTGCAATGGCATGAAACTCACCCACTGAGAGATGAGGCAGTTTGCCAAGGTTATACATTGTTCATCCAGGCACTGACAGTTTTCCACTGGTTTTATTAGACTTTATAAAGTGGACAAATTTGATAAGAGGAAGGAACACTGGGAAAGCTTTTTGTCCATGGTTTCTGTGTTAAACTGCATTGCCTGGCTCCTCTGGCGTCAGCCTCTCAATGTTAGCCAAGCATACACTTGATCCAGTAGTTCCCAAGACTTGAATGGCTTGATGAATTTCGCATTTATAAGGCATATTCTTCTGTGGATATCACTGCTAATTACTCATTGTGCATTGTATTTCAGAGGTTTTTTTTTTTTTCCTGTGTTTTAAACTGAAACCCAGAATCGTATTCATCTAGTTGGCCAACCCTGGTTCTTCATACTCACTCAGCGTACCTGTATCCTCAGTTTCACACACAATAGGCTGGTACATTTTATTATATGTCACTTACTTTGTTTTAGGATGGAGCCACAGCTGAAAAAACTACAAACCAAATATGATGAACTTAAAGAGAGAAAGTCTTCCCTTGGGCATGCAGCATATTTCTTATCTAATTTAAAACAGCTCTATCAAGATTATTCAGATGTTCAAGCGAAAGAACCAAATGTAAAGGAAATGGTAACTCCAATTTTACTTTTTATCGTGCTTCAGAAGATGATTGTGGGAGGGTATTTGCGTGCTAGAGTTCCAGAAGCTTTGGGGAAAGACAAATGGAGATACAGAATTAGAGTCTACCTAAGCCAGTGAAACGTCATTATATCAGCACTTTTCTTAGCTACTTAAGGCTGGAGGAGCAATGTCTAGAATCGCCGATTTGTATAAGGTATTTTCACTCGGACAGCTGAATTTCATCAAGGGAAGTTTATATCCTGTGTATAAATCTCAACTGAAAAATCACATTCTGCTTTTTTACAATTTTCATTCCTGTAAGACCACTCAGCCATGTTTGAAAGACCAGCCATTTCTATTTTGTCTAGCCCCATGTTCACAGCATCTTTCGTATCTGAAAAACAAGCCATTTTCCCATATAACTGGTAGGTATGATTTTAGAAGTTAGGTAATAATAGGCTGGGCATGGTGGTTCACACCTGTAAGCATAGGACTTCAGGAAGCTAAGGCAGGTAGATCACTTGAGCCCAGGAGTTCAAGACCAGCCTTGGGTGATGGTGAAACCCCATCTCTACTGAACATACAAAAACTAGCTAGGTGGTGGTGCATGCCTGTAGTCCCAGCTACTCTGGAGGCTTAGGTGGAAAGATCACTTGAGCCTGGAGGTCCAGGCTGCACTGAGCTGTGATCGCACCACTGCACTCCAGCCTGGGTGAAAAAATTAAACATTAAAAAGGAATATAGTAGGAAACCAGATTTATTAATACATTTTATAGTTACTTCTGGATTTTTACTGCAAACTTTGCTACTGTTATCCCATCCACCTCAGATTAATAGAAGTATTTAAGTACTAGAAAAAAAATTTTATATGCCCTACAAAAACCCTAATAGGATTTTATATAAAATATATATATATAATTAAATGTAATGCACACATATATTTTATGATCAGATTTGTATTCTTCTAAATTCAGTGTTAAGGTTTTGACAATTATCTAAGTTAATTTTCCTGAGCCTAAAGGTTATTTATATATTAGAGATCTGGAAATAGAACGCTTTTAAAGGTATTTTTTAAATTACCTAACCAGTCCAAAGTTTGATTCAGCTTGAACATAATATTTTGGTTAAAAGCGAGGTTTAGTGTCTCTGCCTTGTCTGGATCACACCACTGGATGAGCATCCTGATCTTGGTGTGACCTTAGTACCTTTTTGCACTTCTCTTGTAGTTACTGTCCTTCTTGCCTTATTGATGGTAGATACTCGGGTATATGTCTTACCTCTAAATGCTTAGTGACAAATATGAGTTATTGACCTTTATCCCTCCCTAGAGCAGGTGCCTGGGAGAGCTTGAACACATTAGCTTGTCAACTATTTGTATAAAATCCCAGTATTGTGTATGGTAGTCATGGTGTGACAGCTTTTCTGCTGTCATCTTGAAAACATGATATTAAACAGCAAACTATCAAAGTATGATAAAATTCTGTAAGGAGAAATTAATCATGTACCCTTAGATACAATTTGCAACTGGAAGTTTGACTTTAATTACTTCGAAATCGTGAGTTAGATATTGTGTGTTCTATTTTATGTTGGGTTTGTATTCTAATTTTAACTTTAATCATTAAGAACATTCGGATTGGCAACCTTTGAGACATTTAATTGATTTTCCCAATCTCTAGATGATAGATTTTTTTCTTAAAAACTTTTATGGGTCTAGTGTTCTCATTCCATTAGTTCTTTCCGTTAAAGTAAAGCCTATCTTACAGTTTTCTGTGAGCAGACCCCACACAGCACAAGCAGACTTGCCCAAATCATGTCTTGACATGTCCCGGGCATGATTTCCTGTCTTCAGTAATAGAGATGACACAGGTCTTTGAATCATCTGGGATGAGGTCAGTTCAAGCTTTGCAAAGCAGCTCCTAACAACTTTGTGATCAATTATGTTCTAAGGAAATGGATAAAAACCAATTTTCTTAGTGGTCCTAGTTAAAAATGAAAGAGTAGTAGTTAATGGAAAGCGCTATCAGAATTTGCATTGGTCATAAGATTGAGCTATGCAGGGACAAGGTTATAAGTTTTGATATTGCTAATTATATAAATTATTTTCTTTGAACAGTATGATTCATCCAGCCTTCCAGCTCTGTTATTTAAAGCAAGAACACTTTTGGGAGCTGAAAGCCATCTGCAAAATATCAACCATCAGTTAGAGAAGCTCCTTGACCAGGAATGAGAAGAGCAGTCTACTAAAATGTGTCTATAGGAAGACTAGTCTCATGCTGTTACCTTCTGAAACTGTACTTTATTAAATAAATAGTTTTGCAAAGCAGTTAAGGCCTACGTACCAGAATCTAAAATTTGTTATTCAAATTAAATGGTTGTGAACAATGTTAAATGGCATCAATAGTTTTAGAGGCCATAATCTTTTCTGGTTAATATCTTCAGTAATTTTAAAATGTTGATACCTTGTCTAATCAGCCCCAGATATAAAAAATTAAGTTGATGTGAACATAGACTAATTTTGATTAATAAGGGGATTTTTACTGAATTTAAGTACACCCAAATTGGAAAACAGTGATAAAACTTAGTTTATATAAACAGGTTTAACAATATATTTATCAAATCTGACATCAGGCAAATTATAGCCTGGTGACAAGTGTCCATAGTGAATTAGCTACTCTTGTAATACTTCTATAATTAGTTCATCAGGAATTTCATCCACTTCACTATTGTAACTGAGAAGACTGTTCTCTGCCGCTTCAGCTAATTCAGCATCTTCAGTAGCTTCTAAAAAATAAGCATCATCAATGCCATTATTCCAGTCTGTGTCAGCAGATGCACCTGTTGACAGCTTGCTAGGCGATGGCTCATGAGGATTCTGGGTTTCACTGCTCCTAGTTTCATCTGTTGTAAACTCTTCTTCCTTTATTTCAGTGGAGAAAGGTGAGCGAGTGGGATATTAAAATACTTACTCAGCATATGTGATTTGACCCTATACTCTATGTTGAAGTAAGGTATTAAGTGACAAGATACTAAAGTGAATATGCTGGAGGAATGCCATTGTCTCTGATACCTCACCATGGGAATGAGTGCACTGATTGAAACGTTGCTGCACTTAAGCTTAGACAAACTTGAAACTGCAAATTTGAAATTACATCAATTATTTTGCCATAGAATGTCTTCAGGATGGACATTTAGTTGATCGTCCCACTAAATAATTTTATTCATGTAAAGAATGTCCTTATTCAGTTTAGTGGCACATGCCTGTAATTGCAGCTACTTGGGAGGCTAAGACAGAGGGACTGCTTGAGACCAGGAGTTTGAGACTAGCCTGGGCAACACGACACCCCCTCATTAAAATACTATAAAAATTCCTTTAGCTACATACTCAAGTATTAGGAGATGAAGAGTTTTGATGTCTACAATTTGAGTCATCAAAAATAAGAATGCATATGTATACAGTAGAGGGAGAAAGCAAGTGTAACCAAATGCTAACAAATGGCAACCCCATGAAGGACAGATGGCAGAGTTCCGTATTGTACATTTCTGTAGGTTCAGGTGACCAATGAAATAAGATAATCACCACAACAGAAAAGTAAATAACACCAACTGGTAATTTAGTTTAAAATATTTTTTAAACAAGTGAAGCAGGAAAGGCAAAATGTTCACTGAAAACTAAGTGATAGCTACGTGGGTGTTCATTCTATTCTTTATCTTTTATTAGTTTAAAAGGTTATGTCCAAGTAGTGGTAATACATTACACCAAAGTTACTTACAACTTGGCATTTTGAAGTGTTGACTGGATAAGCAGAAAAAATAGCTTAAAAATGCACTGCAATTGTGACTATCTAAATCACAATCCAGGCCAGCAAGGATGATGCAATCCTCCTCCTCTTGGCGACAAAGTTTATTTTTTAAAATTTGCTTTGTTCTTGGTTGTTTGAAAACATTTTAACTTGGTATTTTACCAGAGACTCTGGCTATCAGTTATTTTATGTCCAGCTCTTGCAGACCAAGAACAGGATCTCCACCATTTCAAACGGAGTTTTTTCGAGAGACATGTTTTAAGACAGTAGATACCAGATTTGAGTTTTCTAGAATATAAACTCATCACTTGTCCTGCTTGTAGCAGGTAATTTTTATTCTAACCATAACACTGTAAAGGAAAAAGCTGATAGATGTGACCAAAAAAACAACTAGAATTTAAAAGTATAAAAGAAATATGTCAAAAAGCGTACTTAAGTTACTGCCAAAAAACGTTGCAGAAAAATGGACAGAGGATAGGTACAGGCACTTCATTAAACAGTGAATCTGAAAAGAGTTCATTAGATAAATGCAAATTAAAACAACGGAAGTGCTGCTTTTTGCCTACCAGATTAGTAGTGATTCGAGGCAAACAAGCACTGTTGGCAAAGTGCGAGTAATAGGTGCTTTCATCAATCTGTGGAAGTCTAATATCCTGTAATTCTTATAGAGAGCAATTTGGTAATAGGTACTAAAAATATTTGTGATACTTTTTAAGTGGAAGAAGTGAAATAGTATGTGTGCTACCACTTCAAAAAAAAAAATGCATACATAAGTTCTGGAAGGTACATGTCAAAACGTATCAGTTACCTCTGGTCAAATAAGTGAGGAAGATTCTGCATTTTATAATTTTATGTAGCTCACTGCAACCTCTGCCTCCTGGGTTCAAGGGATTCTCCTGCCTCAGCCTCCCAAGTAGCTGGGATAACAGGCACACTCCACCACACCTGGCTAATTTTTGTATTTTCAGTAGAGACAGGGTTTCACCACGTTGGCCAGGCTGTTCTCGAACTCATGACCTCAAGGGATCTACCCTCCTCGGCCTCCCAAAGTGCTAGCATTACAGGCATGAGCCCCCGCATCCGACTAATTTTATGTACTTTCAGTTCATTCCACAATGCATGCTAATTATTTGGGTAAATAAAAAATCTTTAAGAGAAAAATGCTGGTTTGGCAATCTGGTAATACTTACCAAAATTAAAACTGAATATGCCCTTTGACACAATTCTACTTCTAGAAATTCATCCTACAGATATAGATGTTCAAAGAAACACAAAGATGGGTATTTTGTTACTTTCAAAAGCAAAACATGGGAAGCTTCTTAAATGTCTGGGACTGATTAAACCGTACGTCTCAAGCAGCAGTGAAAAGATGTATATTATGAGAGATAGGCGCCAAGATGGGAAATTCATTACAACATATTCCTATAATACAGTCATAAGTGAAAATAAGGTACCAAATGTTTTTCAAAGCTATTTGGACACTACTCATGGCTCATGTATACTACTGTACCAAGAACTTCCTGGTAAGGAGGAGACAGTAAAATCTGCACTTACCTCTTTGAAAAGAAACGGGAGACATACTTCAGCAGGTAATGGGAAATCTGAATGAGAAAGATAGCAAAACTATTACATATTATAGCTATATAATTTTTACTTTGTGGTAAAGGTAAAAATTAGTAACTCACAGTCAGATTTGAAGTTTTCTGCTTTACATACAGGGTCATGACATTTTTGATACCAAACTTCGTTTTTCAGATCAACCAGAATCCTTTATGTTAAAACAAATAAAAAAAACTAGTATTAATACTGAGACTGGGTAGAAAACAAAATCCAGCTGCATGCTGTTCCAAGAAATGCCTAAGCCTTAAAAGATGGAGAAAAAAAGTAAAAGCATGGTTATAGATACATACCAATCAAAATGATGGTTGCCAAAAATCACACAAAATGAACTGTAGGGCAAAAAGTAGATATTGATAAAAGCCCCCATGAAGACAGAACAATTCTCAACCTATATTCGCCAAATGATACAGCTGCAAAATATGTGAGCAAAAATGGACAAGACTACAATGCTAAGCAAGTCTACCATAAATCAAAGCTTTTAAAAAAAAACGTCCTCAGTAATTTATAGACCAAATAACTATAAAAAAGGTCCAATAAGGATACAGAAAACATGAATGACAAAAAGCAATTAAGAAGCTTGATCTGGCCGGCGCGGTGGCTCACGCCTGTAATCCCAGCACTTTGGGAGGCCGAGGCGGGTGGATCAAGAGGTCAAGAGATCGATAACATCCTGGTCAACATGGTGAAACCCCGTCTCTACTAAAAATACAAAAAATCAGCTGGGCATGGTGGCGTATGCCTGTAATCCCAGCTACTCAGGAGGCTGACGCAGAATTGCCTAAACCCAGGAGGCGGAGATTGCGGTGAGCCGAGATCGCGCCATTGCACTCCGGCCTGGGTAACGAGCGAAACTCCGTCTCAAATAAATAAATAAATAAATAAATAAATAAAATCAATTCCATGCTAACTATAAAGTGAATTTTATCAAAATTATCGATTCACACAGAACACATTCTCTGAGCATAAAGCAAAATTTAGAAATAAAAAGCTAAGAGAAATACATAATTTGGAAATTAAAAACATTTGAAATAACCAATGGCTCAAGGAAAAATAGTGGAAATTAGAAAATGCTTAGACATGAATGGACTGGAAGTGTACATATGAATATAAAATGCAGTTAAAGTGACCTTTAGAGGACCATCATAAAAGCTTGTGTTACAGGCTGGGTGTGGTGGCTCACGCCTGTAATCCCAGCACTTTGGGAGGCCAAAGCAGGTGGATCACGAGGTCAAGAGATCGAGACCATCCTGGCCAACATGGTGAAACCCTATCTCTACTAAAAAATACAAAAATTAGCTGGGTGTGGTGGTGTGCACCTGTAATCTCGAACCCGGGAGGCGGAGACTGCAGTGAGCCGAGGTCGTGCCACTGCACTCCAGCCTGGTGACAGAGCGAGACTCCGTCTCAAAAAAAAAAAAAAAAAAAAAAAGCTTGTGTTATGAAAGAAGAATGGCTAAAGATACATGGATTAAGTAACTAAAGTGGAAAAAGAGCAACTGAATAAACCCTAATAAAAGGCAGGTGACCAGGCATGGTGGCTCACACCTGTAATCCCAGAACTTTGGGAGGCCGATGGGGGTGGATCACAAGGTCAGGCATTTGAGACCAGTGTGACCAACATAGTGAAACCCCATCTCTACTAAAAATACAAAAAATGAGCCAGTCGTGGTGGCAGGCACCTGTGATCCCAGCTACTTGGGAAGCTGAGGCAGGAGAATTGCTTGAACCCAGGAGGCAGAGGTTGCCAGGAGCCAAGATCACGCCACTGCACTCCAGCCCAGGCAGCAGTGCGGAACTCCATCTCAAAAAAATAAATAAATAAAATAAAAGGAAGTCACAAAGAGCAAAAAGTAAAAAGAATCAACAAGGCCTACATTTGAAGAAAATGAAATTAGAGTAAAATTGCCATTTTGCCATAAGGCAAAGACACAAATGTTATTAGAAATTAAATGCAGCATATTTTTTTTAAAAAATATTGTGAACAATTTTTGCCAGTAACTTTGAATTTTGTAAAACAGACCAAGTACTAGATAAAAATAAACGAAGCAAACTTAAGCAACAGAAAACCTAAACAATCCTATAA